TAAAGACTCCCTCAATAAAATTTTTGCAGATGCTTCAAAAGGATCTTAAAATGCATGAGAATTTACTACATCTCCCGGAACATGAGCCTTTTTTTCTGCTAAGAATTAACTTGTAATTTCAAAGATTCTTTACACCCTAAGATCAATATGATTTTTCAATTACCTGCTGATACCTACAAAAGAGAGATCAAAATTTTGTCCGAACAATTAGTCAATATTAAGTTTAGATAATTATCTTGGCTACAAGCTTACTACCCACCAAAGCAGGTGGAAAAGGAATACTACGATTACCCTCCTTACTTCTAATCATCAAGAAATTAATGACTCAAGATATTCTACTCTTTCAGGTCATCGATTTTTGTAAGTCCTCTTATCTAGTCGATTCTCCTACAACTTCATTGCAGTGATTGTGATTTACTCTTGGTTGGCAACTCCGTTGCATTTCTTGAAGTAAAAAGTCAACTTGTGGAAGATTCCTTTCTTTTCAACTTCATCAGAAAACGGTTATAAATTTCTCCATTCCTTCGAGTAATCTAGATTTCCTACTTACAAATGATGAGCTACGTCATGCCATCGGACTCAGACTTAATTGCGATATGGCTATAACATATTCATATTCACTTTGTCTGACTCAGACTCCCATCGGAAACTATGTAGAGATAGATTTCTATACAAAATGTAATCTCACTATATCTCGGGCCTTGATGCTGAATTTCTTCAAGCCTTGAGCCAGATTTGACTTTATAAAGTAGCTGGTAAACGTCCTGAGGGTTTATCCAAGAATACATAAAAGAATGATAAGTTCTTACATAGCAGATTTTATGTGTAGATCCACTCGTACTCTCTAAAGGTAAATCTGCCAAATATACTTCTGTTTTACCTTCCAACCATTTATTCATACCAATAATTGCCACAACGCTAACTTCTTTTGACACTCACATCGTAGCCTTCTTTAAGGATCTAGGGTATTGCATTACATAGAAAACAGTAGTACAAGTGCGCGTTTTTACCAAATAAAGAATAAAAAATAATTGCATCTAACTACATCAGTACATTCTCCGTTGATGGATAAGAATAACTATTGAAACTCATTTTAAATAAATATTATATTATCATATGTAACCTATAAATAAAAAATTTATAATTAATTAATATTCGTTAAAAAAATAGATGATCCTTAAATATAAATAATAATTTCTCTTTTCGGTCATGTTTAACTCAACAAATTTTTTAATATAACAATAACTTTAAATTATAACTATTTCCTAAAAATAAATTTCATAGTATTGACAACATTAACATATTGTAACCATAAATCAATGTTTAAAATTTAATAATGCGTTCATATATTCCTATTATAGTTGTAAATAAATATTTCTGATGACACATTTATTTATATTAATTAATAGACAATTTTAGCCATTGGACACGTTTTTTCAATAACTTATACGTCTCACTTAGCAAAAACTAAAACGAACTCAAATCTCGATAAAAACATAGGCCTGGAACATGAAATATATGCTTTAGAAGTTGTCATCGCTGCAATAAATATAATCATTATAGCTAATGCGTGTTATACAAATCATTTTCACACATTAAATTGTTGGAGAAAAAAGATTGGATTTATCTAGAATTAATATTTTTTTATATATAAAGCCAGCTTATTAATTTATCAGCATTAAAGAAACACACTGCTTTTCGTTATCAATATTTTATATTTATGTAATTGTTTTGAAAATGAAAAGCGTATAATTTATTTTCACTAAAAAATTCTTTAAATTTACATTATCCTTTGCTATGTTTTTGAATTTTTTTTCAATATTATCTAAAACGAACTTGAACTGTTAAAAAAGATTCAAACAAACGATCAGGTTAAGATTATAATTCTCTCTATTTCATGAATTATTTTATTTATTACTAAACAGACGATGGTATAGAGCGCCCTGCTAAGTATTTGCGCTGAAAAAATTGTCCGTTTTTTTAAAGTTTGATGAGGCTCCATATCTTGATTATATATTTAAATTCTGAATTTTTTTTCGGAAAAACTCTGAAAGTTTGATAAATAAATGATTTGAAGACAGGTTCTCAAGGATGATCCTAGTTGCCTGGCTTGAAGTTTGGCATCCTCCTTTAATTCTAAGTACTAATTGGTATATGATAAAATGTAAAATTATTTTAGAGATAATCCTTCTGAAAATAAATCTCCTATAGCAATAGGCCGAATGCCTCGATTTGGTTTATGGGCCATTAGTTGTGTACCAAAGACTAAAAAATTGTATTGTACCCTCAATTAACTTAGAGGTTGCCAAGATCTGCTATTGCCATCTATCTCTTTAGCTGAGTCTATGAAATGAGTTGATTCATAGGCGTAGCTTAGGGGGTGGTAAGAAATTCCCCCTTCGGAAATTTATTTCTCTTGAATACCATTTTAAGCTAATAAAATATTTTCCGCTAGACATCCCCAACAGCTCTCTTCTCCCAAAATGTATACAATATATTACTATAAATAATAATTTGAAAATAAAATAAGTAAGTGTAATAATTATTGATATGACTATTATTCAAAATTTTTATGAAAAAAGTAATTATAAAAAAAAGTAAAAGTAAACCACCCCCCTCCCCAACCCCAGCAAAATTCAGGCTACATTTATAAGTCGATTGCTTTAGAAATCTATGCCGTGAATATTACCGAGGATTTTACAGATAAAGAACTGATTAATGTTGGCTTTTTAAAGAGCATGTACAATTAAAATTAAATTGCCATTATATTTTCGTATGAATAATTTTATATATTTTTTAAAAAAACGAATAGAATAGTAAATTTTATTATTTCATATGAATTAATTCGTTTTAATATCGATTCGTATTTGAATATTGCATAATGCATATACATTCAATAAATAGGCTCCTAGAAATATTTTCCCCGGGGAATATAGTTAAAATAAAAAATTTTATATAAAATTTGATTTTTAAAATCGTGATTTGATCAAAGAAATTGATTTTTATAAATATAAACCATAATTTTTGCCAACCCTACCTAAATAAAAAGATGATAAAGGTTAAGGTCATAAATTCACCGATACCACTGATACTCATACCACTAATACAACATCAGCTGATACTAAATACTAATACCAATGATAATAATGGTATATTTATTGAAATCATTTTTTTTATTTATTTATTAATAAATTTATGAAATTGGTAAAATTAAATAAAAAATAAAGATTCACAACACATTCTTTACGGTTTAAATTCTTTTTTTTTATAATTTCAGAGCATAATGTTGACTAAAAATTTTTTTTAACTTATAGTGCGCATCCCTTATTAAAATTGAGGTTTTTATTTTATAAAAATAAACAAACTTGCGTTTTTTAAAATGGTTTATGGTTTTAAACGGTAATGTGACCAATTTCACTATATTGAAATGCATTATTTACGATTAAAGCGCTCAATTTGTGTGAAGGTAAATTATCATTTCTGGGTATTGGCCACGGTATCGTTTAAAATTCAAAGTATCAGCTGATATTGACACCAAGTATTGGTGCATTCCTAGTTAAAATTTGCTAAATTTCCAATTAATTGAAAACCTTAACTGCCCAAAAATTTTATCTTTCAAATAATTAACCATCATCATCATAAACTAAATTAGGTAAAGATAAATTTATATTAAATGCAAAAAAAAATCGAAGATAAAATATATACAATTGTTATTTAAGATTTACTAAAATTTCAAGGAAATTAAAATAAGATGAATAAATATATTTTTAAACATATATTTATGCTTTTAGGAGGCTGGGCAAAGCATCCAAATATATTAATAATTATTTGCAATTTAAATATTACATAATGAATCATTTCCCGAGGTGGTATAACACCTGCATGAGCCCAGATCGTTCGGGAAAATTCCAAATACAATACTTTCAAACATTTTATTTCTGGTTTATAGAAAACAATTCATATGCAAAACTTGAAACATCTATGTTCTACTTTTCTTTAGTGCTCCTTCTGCGTTTGTTTAATATTTCTAAACAGGTTTTAGGAAAGAAACGATGTGTATCCAATTAATTTAGAAAAATTCATGCTTTTAAAAATAAAATATATATAAAAATTAATTTAATTTGAAATAATATAAGGATAAATATATTAAATTTTTATTTACGTCTACACTTTGTATAGAAAAATGAAAGTTAATTAAAATGAAAGTCTTTAGAGCGAGAGCCGGTTCTACTGTAAAATTGAGTTTTTAAAAAGGAGTCTTAACAACTCTGATATATCGCTTGTTTATGTCGCATAGTCCTATTTTTCAGAAGCAAGTGATTTTCTTCAAATAAAGGGTCTTTTTCAAAAATAATATCCTTTTTTATAGCAATATCATGTTTTATAAGAATTTTTTTTTTACTGTTTGTAAAAAAATAAGTTTTAAAAAACCCCTATATTATGTGTTTGAAGAAGTCAGTGTTTCTGAAAAAACCCGATGAATATTCTTGTTTGTCAATTTTATATTACATCCTAATGTTGCAAATATTCCTGTAAAAATGTATACCATTCTGCTCAATAGATTGAAATCCTTTATATATAAAATTTGAATAATTTTATTTTTGCAAGACGAGACATGGTATAATATAAATAATTTGTAAAAAAATATAAAGTTGTAATTTATTAGAAAAATTATATAAATAATAATATGTACTATTTTTTTGGTTTTTTCAAAATAATTATTATAAATTAATTTTTTAAATTAGATATATGTAATTATAATATAAAATAACTTGACTCGTGAGTTTGATATAATTATAGGTATAATAATCTATAAAAGTTGCACTAATAAATTTTAATAAACTATACAACTATATACATAATATTATTTTATAAATAAATTTTTTTTTTAAATATATTAATATTGAACAAAAAAACCTATAAAACCTATAAAAGTTTTATAATAAATAATATTACACAATATATTCATTTGAATATATATATATAATACAATTGCAAAACATCAATTTACAATTCTCCTGTTAAGATTGTAAATCAGATAGAATAATATTTTAGAAGCGATTAAATTAAATAATATTAACATTTTATGCTATATTTTTCCTATTTGTTTAATCGACTTAAAAGTCTTTCAATAAGTATTTTTTTTATTCTAGTATAAATTTCTGAGGAAAAATCGGATGTGGTAAAAAGTTTTAAGAATGAATCCGATGGAGCTGTACAAGAATCCAGGTTTTGAACCAAGTGTGGTAAGTTTTTGAGAAAAAATCCGACGCAATAATTGGACAATTCCTCACAGCAGTACAACTTTATCAATAAAAAAATTTAAGACATTAAAAATAAAAGAAGTTTTTGTGATAAATTTTTTTTTATTAAATGGCAAAACACCTATTTTCAATCCTTTTGATTGGCTTGAAGACCCATTCCATAGATATGTGTCACTTCCGAAGATATAAGTTATTAATATATATTTACAAGCTAAGTGAAGTGAAATGCCTATAAGATAACAACTTAACTGATGTTTAGTTTATAAAAAATTATAAAAGTGGCTGAATTTACTATGTTAAATGTAAATAATTACCAACCCGAGCGGTTTTGTATATGGAAACGCAATTCGTAAGGTCCAGTATATTAGAAGAAAATATTTCACATTCCCTTTGCAATCCGTCGAGTAAGAAAAAATTGGAAGCGGCCATTAGTTCCAAAACAAATGCCGAATCCCGGTTTTTGATGCTGTCCACTTTACCGCTATACAAAAATTCCATTATAACCTTTTGGATATAAATTATAATGTATATTATGAATGTATGGATCAAATGGTATAATATATTTATGAATATATTTTATAAAAAGCATGAGTAAATACTAGAGCTTTGCATAGACTGGGAAAGAGGGGGGGGGGAGGTCCGCCCAGTTCAAAAAAATCTTTCTAGATTCGAGTTCGTCTAGTCCGGCCCGAAAATTTAAATAATTATTTGCTTAATTTTTTAAATGAAAATATTTTATTATACCTCATTTTACTATATTTTGTATATAAGTTCTAATTAAATAATAATTTTACTTAATATTAATCCAGAAATAATTTTGATATTTAGGTTGCATAAAAATTTTAATTCTAGTTTATATAAAAATAATTTTACTTAATATTAATCCAGAAATAATTTTGATATTTAGATTGCATAAAAATTTTAATTCTAGTTTATATAAAAATATTAGTTAAATTAGAATAATGGATTGCTTAATAATATACTCAGATAAAGTACAAATGAACAAACCGAAAAAAGACGAATAGTCGACCAGAACCAATCTGATAAAAAATATAGACACATCCCGAATTTAAGCTATAACTTTTATAATATATGAATATCTTTTTTTTAATAAAAATAAAGGTATAAAAAACATAAAATAGGTATAATATTTATTAATTTTAATATTATAAATTTTCTCCGAGTTCGAAAATAATAAATAGGTCCGGCTTAACCAAATCCGGCTTCGAACTCAGGCTGGACAGGTCCACAAAGAGCTCTAATTTATACCTTAAAAATATCGTAACGTATGTCTGGTATGGGTATAACATCCTGATTAGATTCGGCGAATTTATCGCATAGCATGGCTTTAAATCGGGGCGAAGAGTTTACCAATATGATTTTATGACCAAAAAATATTTTCCCTTCGACCAAAAACGATATATCAGATAGCTCCGGGCTATTTACATAGCAAGGATCTTGTGTTTTTAGTTTTGTAAATCAATACATCGCATTATTATTGTCGAGTAAATCATATAATTAAAGAAAATAATTTTAAAAATTTGATTTCAATTATTTTTAAATATATAAGCATATTATGCTTCTTAAATTATTCATTTGAATATCGACTAACCTATATCCATATTTTGCATTTTAAAATTATAAGTTAGAAAAATTTTTATTTTTAATTTAAATCTTTACCAAATAATTATATTATTCGTATTCGATTGGAATATTGGTATTATTCATATTTGTGAGAATCAAATATTCGAAATAAAAACATTATTCAATTAAAATTTTTGAGATATTATTAAAGTAAAAAAATGAATTATTAAATTTACAAAATAATAAGTTTCAAAATGAATATGTTGCAAATAATTTTTTTGAATAAATTGTAAATTTTTATTATTCGTATTCGAATTGAATAATTTTGCTAGGATGGCAGCCGATACCTGATGAATAAAAATCTTGAAATAATTAAGTGGACAATAAGTTACATGACAAAAAAAGAAAGAATTTGTAGATGCTAGTGATCCCGATCCAAAATAAATACCGGGTCGAGCCTAATATTTCGACCATTGCAGGTTTCGGTGTAAGGTAACTAGTTACATTTTTGTAAAAATCACAAACTAATAAAATTATAAGAATTAAAATTGGTGTCATGGCCTGTAAGAAATATTAATATCTTAAAATTTACTCAATGAAAATGTACAAAATTTTGCAATTATGTTAAAAAATAGGAGGCTACTAAAAATCCAAGCCATAATATCGATAGGCTTTTTTTTGTATCAATTAAAAAAATATCTGATTATATTCCCAAAACACTCAAGTGTTAAAAATGATGAATTATATAAACAATTTATATAGTAAAGAATGTAACTAGTTATTTTATATAACTTCTTACTTTTTAAAAATGTAACTTGTAAGAAGACTTTTCAAAAGTATAACATTACTAATAGAGAATAGGTATGTAGAAATGTATGAGATCCACATGAAATAATAATATACAGAACAGGCGATTTTATAATTCCTGCTTTTTATGTTGATCCAACAATGAAATTAATATCATGAGTATACCGATTTCTTTTCATAACACCTTTACTACACATAAATTATTTAAACTTAAATTATCATTCCAAGGCGTTTATGTGATAGGTATCGTGCGTTTTTTTAAAAAAGGTGGGTGGGCCTAACATTAAGTGATATACTTACCTATAAGAGTAGATCGAACCGATTGAGGTGAATTCGGAATCGGAGGGGGTAACATTGCATCCTCGATAACTGTTCTAACCCCAACCCTATAACAATCGCTCAATATTTTGCAAACAGGTTTAAAGATTTCTGAGCTAGTTTTGAAATTATCATCATTGTGGCGATTTTGATCCTCCAGATTATCAGTTACATCCAAATGTTGTTCTGACGTTGAGTTATTAGATAAATAGGAACGGAATAGGTTGAGTAAGATGGGAAAGGCAGCCTCCAGAAACTCCGGTATATTAACTTCGTCGAACTTGACGTTAGGAAAATCGGTTAGCAGGTAATGTAAGATATTTTGAGGAAAGAGTAAATTGTTAGTATTAAAGTTGTTAGCTAAATTTGGGCTAGTTCGAGTATACAATGGTTGAGGTTGGGAAGCTACGTGAGTCAAGCAAGTTATCCAGATGTGGAGATTCCAAACTATACCTATATAGATATAAAATTATAAATGTTGATTCATATATTAATGTAAAAAATACCTAAATTTCGGAGCTCCATACATATTATAATATGACCACTCTCTGCTGCATGATACATTGCTTCCATAAGGACTCTTCCTTGGGCTTTGGTTAAATTACACGCTGTTAAATTTTTAGGTTGTTGCACGATTAACGAATTTATATTGTTGGTATTTTTCAGTTTTAAACTTGTAGAAGCTACACATGAATTGTTACTAGTAAATTTGTTGTTGGATTTCAAATTTTCTGGGAGCACGGGGAAAGAAGGTAATTGAAGGCTATTGGAACTGGTCTCCTTAATTTCTGGTATTTATTATTATAAACACCAAAATTTTTAAAATACGAAGGATAAATTACAGTAAATTCATTATATTAAAGCTTGTTTCCTTACTTGTCCCATTCTTTTAACAGGTCAATTGTAACTGTGTTGTTAATTGGTTGGTTGTGTAAAACCCAGACCTAGGGTTTGGGTCTAAAGGTCGACTAAGCCAGCTCTGAGCACAGACCTGGGGTCCAGATGTGGTGTTCAGACCCGGAGCAAAAATCAATTAATAGTTGTATTTTTGTTGAACTTAGGAAAGTATATATATATTCAATATATATATCAATCGAGAGCTAATCGAAAGATCTATTCATTAGGAGGACAAACGTTTCCTCTCGATGAGCTAATTTAAGACTCGAGGGTCAGGAATATTTCTATTAACACAAAATAATAATTGGGCATCAAATAAAAGGTGTTTTAATTATATCTTGACTGTAATCATAATTATTATTTTAAGTGGGCGGTCCTAGATCTTAAGGGGTCAGGAATATTTTTAACAGCGCCAAATAAAAGTAAATTTAATTATATTTTGATTGTAATCATAATTATTATTCTAAGTGGGTGAATCTAGGTTTTGAGGGTCAAGAATATTTTAATCAACTGAAAATATTGATATGAATCAAATAAAAGGTAATTTTATTATGTTTTAATTGTAACTAAATTAATATTCCAAGTAAACGGGTCTAGGTCTTTTGGGGGCTGGAATATTTTTATCATCACAATTTATCAATATAGGCAGTGATGTTAATCGACTAACTAATAGTTATTAAAAAATATTTTAATTTGGATTTCGCTGTCGTAATAGGATATGGAATCATGTGGGATTCGGAATCCAAACGTGGGGCACGTTTTATTCGGGATCTTTTTTTAAAAATATTTAAAAAATATTCCGAATCCCCCATGAAAAAAAAATAATAATTACTTTTTCTTCTCTTTTTTTTGCAGCTGGCACCATATAATTAAAAGGCCAAAATAAGAGATTTAAAAAGAGAATTTTAAAAAAAGTAAATAGTATAAAATTAAGGCATATAATGAATAAAAAGGGATGAGGTTAAGACTTTTTTGTTTTAAAAAAAATATTAAAAAATATTTATAAAAAATCCGAATTATTGCAACAATTATTCAATGCAATATGGCATTTCGTTCGTTATTTATAACGGTTCAGTATATAAAAAATTATAATGGTTTATTTTTCTGGATGTAATATTGAGTTAGCCGTTTTTAAAAATCAATTATGAATAAGGAAAAATACTATGTATCTTTAGGTTGAGCCAAATAAGGTAAGACACATTTAGAGATTGTTAAAACTAAATTATTTATAACAACAAACAAATTTTAAGTTGAGATTATCAAAATGTTTTTTTTTCAAAAAGGCTAAGGACCAATATATATTTTTATTTAATAATTTTATATATTTTTACATATTTTTATATAGTTTTAATATTTTAGTGTTTTATCATTTTTTTAAAAATTATACTATCAATATTATCAAAATAAAATTTTAAAAAATAAAACAAATAACAATGGCAATATTTTGAAGTTTTGGAAGCAGGAAAATTTATTTCTTGTTTTGATAAAATTAGAGAGTAAAATTTTGTCCGCCCTGGCAAATTCGGTTTCTAGTGAAAGGGTATTTTCAGTAAATATCGCCTATTAGAGGAAAGGCGTACACAATTGAAATAAAAAAAATAGACATTCTTCTTTTTCTAAGTAAAAATTTGGATTTATAATATGTATTTATTTTTTGTTATTATGGATTATGGAATTAAAGAAATAAATAGAATAAATTCAAAAAAGTGTAAAAAATTATAGCATTAAAGTTTTGAAAAATTTAAAAACACCGTGAATTTTCGGGCGTTAAACAAAATATTGCCTTTCGTGAGAGGGCGGGTCGGGTCGAAATTTTTTTAGTGGTAAGCGTGAATGGGCGTGAATATTTTCATTGGCACATTTATTTTTTTACATTTAATTTATATTAAAATCATTTTTTCGAGTATTTAATGAAAAGCATAAAAGTAATACATATTAAATATCTCTAAAAAATAAAATTTTCTGAGCCAGGCGGAAAAAAATATAATTTAATTGTTTTTTTAAAAAATCCCCTTAAATATTTTTTTTATAAAATTTATTTTTGTTATAAATATCTGAACCATAACTGTAACCGAACCGATATAATTATTTTTTGAAGGAGTAAAAAGAACCTTTATAAAAAACGGTTAAACCGGTTCAGTTTTTATATATTAGAAATGGAAATAATTTGAATATCCTGAATTGTATAAACGTGCTCTTATAGTACTGGCGGTTCCCGCAACACAAGTTTCTGTAGAAAGGGCTTTTTCGGGGCTATGTGTTATCGTCACAACGAACAAAAAGGAATCCATTTATACTTGAAAATATATTACTTATAAGTTCAAATAATATATTTAAAAATGAGTTATTTTCAATTTTATATATTTTTTTTATATATAATTCATAAATGCTTATAATAAAAATAAATTAGAAGATGGTGTTGCTTCAATAAAAAAAAAATTTCTAACCGTAATGAAACTTTATAAACCTTTATAATTAGCTGAACCGAACAGAACCTTTATATAAATTTCTTCTCAAGAACCGTAACCAAAACGTAACCATTCCTGCTTAAATGTTCAACGAAAATTGTTGCAATAATTCGGATTTTTTATAAATATATTTATTAATATTTTTTAAAACAAAATAGTCTTAACCTCATCCCTTTTTATTCATTATAAGCTTTAATTTTATAGTATTTACTTTTTTTTAAATTATCTTTTTAAATCCCTTATTTTGGCCTTTTAATTATATGGTGCCAGCCGCAAAAAAAGAGAAGAAAAAGTAATATATTTTAATATTTTTTTAAATAAAGTCTTAACCTCATCCCTTTTCATTTATTATATGCCTTAATTTTATACTATTTACTTTTTTTTTAAATTCTCTTTTTAAATCCCTTATTTTGGCCTTTTAATTATATGATGCCAGCCGCAAAAAAAGAAAAGAAAAAGTAATTATTTTATTTTATTTTTCATGGGGATTCGGAATATTTTTTAAATATTTTTAAAAAAAGATCCCGAATAAAACGAATCTCCACGTTGGGATTCCGAATCCCACATGATTCTCTATCCCAATACGACAGTTAAGAGTAAGATCTTGGAACAAAAACCATAAATTGATAGATGTTGTAATTAGATAAATATATTAAAAATACCGCTAGATATTGATATCTTGTTCGAGCAGATTATTATGCTCTCCATTTTTTATGATTCTCAAAAATATAAGGTCTAAAAGCATTCGAGTGGGTATAATTTTTTCGTAATATTAATCCCCACGCTTAAAAATATGAGAACATTTTTCTTTGAAAAATATTACAAAACATTACTAACATTTTTTATTATATATGAAGTATTTAAGAAATAATGGGGGTGGGGGGAGGGGATAACTTCCCGCAAAATAAAAATTTTGGCCAAATTTCTCCCGCAATTGATCATACTTACCCAGTTCTCTTTAAAGGTCAAGACAAATCTTTTCCTCTTCAGGAATTCTTAGTATCTTATATGCATTAAAAATTTATATTTTTTTAAATTATCACAATTTATTCGTAAGTAGTTTTGTTTCGTATCACTTCAATACCGCGAAACTTTTTCCGCGAAATGCATCAACGCGAATGCATCATAGCAAAAACAGTATCGCGAATGCATTACAACGAATGTATTACCGCGAATGCATCATAGCGAAGACATTACTATGAATGCATCATAGCGAATGTATTAGCGCGAATGCATTACCACGAAATATTATCGCGAATGCATAAAAATGTATTATCGCGAATGTAATATGGCGAATGCATTCACGTATGCAATAGTGCTTGATAGAAATGATTGATATAATTAATATAAAGTATTAAAATTCTTTGCTACTTATCCACTTACTTTCTAATAAGGAGTTCATTATTAATATGTTTTTATTTTTAAATATATCGGAAAACATAATTTGTTACCTTTTGGAAGTTCCTGGCGAATAATATTTTTCCGCTGGATCTCTATTTCTCTAAGGAAACCTTTAGACTCTCTAATTATATTGTAATTCATTTAACAAGTTCAGACATTTTTCAAAAAACCAGAAAACCAGCCTAATTGACCTTTCTATATTTATTTAACGTAGTGTTTTTAAATTTTTATAACTCTAAAACACGTCACTCGCTATTTATGAAATTTTGTATTTTATTAAAAAATATATGAAATTTAGTATCCTCAATTTTTTTTATTAATTAGATCAAGTCGTTTTTTAGAAATTTGAAATACTAATATTTGACAAAAAATAACTTAAGACCCTCATTTATTTTTATTTATTTAAAAATGAGCTAGATGTGTTCCCATTATGTTGGTTTATAGCAGGATGCTCGCCTTTTTTTAAATTTTTTTCCGTAATTATAAATTATAATGCAAAACACAAAGTATACTTTGAGATCCATAAAATTATTAAAATAATAAATATAATTAATCTATCCTTTTTTTTCTTGTGTAACCCCTAACGATAAACGCCAATTTTATTATTTCTTGAGAAATTAAGGGCCATATCCGCTCACAGAATAATAATTATGATTACAGTCAAGATATAATTAAAACACCTTTTATTTGACCCCCATATCAATATTTTGTGTTGTTTAAAATATTCCTGATCCCTCAAGACCTAAACCCACCCATTTAGAAAATGATAATGATTACAGTCAAGTTATGATTAAAACACCTTTATTGATACCCATATTGCCTATCGAGAGGGAACGCTTTTTCTAAAGAATAAATCTTATATATACTTTCCTAAGTTCAACAAAAAACAACTAAAAATAAATGGGTTTTTGTGACGGGTTTGAACTCCGGGTATGTGTTCAGGGTTAGTGTTCAGAGCCGGCCTGAGCACAAAATTGGGTCGTATATTTTACGACCAAGCAAATTAACAACACTAATGTAACACTATTTATGGATAGGTTTATAAATAGAATTATAGGCATGTTAACACGTCAATAAAAATAAAATACGTCAAATTATGTTTTAATAATTTTTAAATATGTACCTATAGTATCAGATGTTGAGGGCATTATATATCCTTCGGCCAATATTTCCTGCAATGTTAAATAATCGTTGGCAGATTTATTTATGCTGTTAGTTATGTTGTTTACGCTATTGATAAAACTAGTTATGTTTGGCGACAATATACGTTTCTATAGAATTATTTTTGTTATAAAATCATTTCAAAAAATTATTATCGCTTTTTTTGTTTTTTTATCTTAATCAAGTTTGGTCAATCAACTAATAATTTATCATTTTTCTTCGAAAATCAAATTTATTGCTTTTACCCTACGTACCAATATCAATATAATCATTTAGATTTCCAAATTGAGTAGAAATTAACATTGAAATGCTTAATCACTTTCAAACTTTAAGGCTTGGTTCTGATAGGAGCGTTTCCATGCTAATTTTAAAAATATTTGAAAATTAAGATCCAACCACTCCAATTATGCCTTAGTTTAAAACGAGCCTTGACTTGAATTTTTATAAAATTTTGTGGATTAGCTAAGAATCTCAAAATTTGACAATAGCCAATAGTAACAAATAGAAAAAAATTAAATAATATTTAAGAACAAAATTCAAAGCATTATTCACATATACAATCCAAAAAGTTTATATTATATTTTAAAAAATAACAATAAAATATATATTTTTTAAAGACTTACTGAATAATTTAGTTTTGGCTGAGAATGCCTCCTGCTTTTATCCTTGCTTTTGCCCGTAGTGCCACTATTATTATTATAGTTACTCATGGCGTTCAGGGTTCCCCCGCTGTTCGTAACGTTCATAACATTATTTCTATTAGCAACTGCTGTGTTTGGCCCTTCCAAGTTGAGATTTGAGTGATCGAGACCTTTGAGTTCAGAGTTCAGGACGGGAAAAGTTGTAACACTAGATGAAACGTTCAAAGATGTCGAATGAGTCAGAGCTACGTGATTAATATTAGAATATTGATTGATTTCTTCCATGTTACTAAAATTGGGGCTAAATACGATAGAATTCAAGTCCGTTGGCGTATTTATGGGGTTAATACATGAAGTAGAAAAAGTAAATATCGTTGCTTGAGAATTTTGGGAATTTTTCGATTGGGTAGAATCCTCTTCGAGACTAATTTTTTCCAAGTTATGAGCTATAAATTCAAAAAATGGATGAATTATTATAGTTGTATTAATGTAAAAAAAATATTATTATTATTTTATTTTGATGTAGAAATTGATATATTTTTTTTATATAAAATTTGGATATTGTAAAATTGTTGTGATTTTCGGAAAAATAAAATTAAAGAAAATTTTTAAAAAATTATATAGTCCTAATTATTTGTTTCCAAAAGCTCAAAAGTGATAGTTTTAATCAATTTGGTTCAGCTATAATAATGATCTTGGTAATATATTAAAATTGCCTTATTTAAATTTTTTAATTACTTTAATGACATATCACCTATTTTAAAAATCAGGTTATATTAGAGTTACTACTAGAAATAAAATAAATTAACATTGAGCCCAAATCAAGAGAAGGCATGTAAATTTAATCATAATGAGGCACTACCCATATTTTGATTACATAATTACCCTTTAATTTTTCCTCCTTGATTACTCAAATGACTTCCAATTATGCATATCTAAAATAAGTTAAAAAATTTTTTTAACTTATAATCAGTCTGGACCCGATAAAATGTTTAAGGGTTTAGTAAGGATTCAAGTCAAAAACTATCTGGGCCTATCCGACCCGCGGCCCAGGAGACTAATATTAAATTCTAGTAGGTCTGGGCCGGCGATAGGTTTTCAAAATTTTAAAATTTAAATTTAGCTCATTTATTTTTTTAAATATAAATTTCAGTATTATAAACAAAATGATTGCTTAAATACACTTAAATATTGTTTATTTTCATTAAATACAATAAATTCAATTTTTGGAGGACTAGGGAAAAATTATTAAAATTTATTTTGGGCTTGGGAATTTTTTCTAATATTAAATATGGGCTGAGCAGGGTCTGGGCTTAAATTTTGACTGCGGGCCAGATTAAAAAATTAAGGCCCATTAAGATCTCTGACCAAGGCTCAAAATTTATCTTTAAAAAATGTGGTATGGGTTTAGGTTCATATTTTAAAAAAAAATTGATTTCAATTCCTGAGGTTCGACATAATCCGGGGTGAGTTTCGAGTATAAGGAGAAATTACCCACTATCAATAGAATATATATGGTATGTAAACTTATTTTGTAAGAATAAGAGTAAAAAAAGGTTTCAATAACTATTTTTAAAATTTGGTAGAAAATTGAAAACGGTAATAAAGTTTGGGAAATTTTATCCTAAATGCATTAAGAGTAAAAACAAAATATCAAGTTTGGATGGGGTTCTGAGATAAAAAATCGGGTTTAGGTTCAAAAATCTTAATATTTTTATGTGTCCAGGTTCAGAAAAACAAGTCTCGAACCCGAATCCGGATGTACAGGTTAGGTCCGGAACCCTATTTATAATATCCCATATTCCTTTGCTGAAAACTACCTTGAACCATTTAGTTGTTACTCATTCACTTTGGAGAAAATATTTATTCGTTATAAAGGGTTGGGCTATGGACCTCTGACAAATCATCGTTTTTTTTCTTATGATTTTAAAACTATCCAACCCTCAATCAAGACCTCTATTTTTTCATCTTCGACGGAATAATTTTATTCTAAATGAGTGGTAAACTTGTGATGGTAAATTCTCCTGTTCCTTTGTTCGATGTGCTAGAAGGGCTCGGACTGGGGCATTTGGAGTTATTACTCCTGTTATGGGTAAACATGGAACAACCTTCAGCGAGTATCTCCTCGAGAGAAAGAATATCTCTGGGTTTTGGAATAAGGGGCTGAGCGAGCATCGCCCTCACAATGTCCAGTCTTCCATGGGATGCCGCTAGAACAAATGGGGCATGGCTTCCTGCTCTGACCCCGCAAGTTGAGCTCAAAGGAGTTATATGAGCACTAGGGTGATGGTTTAGGTCAAGTGTTTCTGAAAAAAATGAAGGAGTAATGGAATAATTATTGAATTGCATTAAAATTAAATAAAATGGGGAAAAAATTGTAACGGTAATGTGTGGCAGGCTCAATTTGATAATTATATTTTTCAATTTTACAAAAATTTTGACCCTTAATATTCAATATATCGTGATAAACAATTGGCTTTCGATATATGACTACAACAAAAAATAAATTTAAATTTTAAGTTGTTAATGATAATTATTATGTAAATTACAAAAACCATTTCAATTAAACAATCGAATTAAGTAACCGGTGACCCAAACAAAAAAAGGGTAGATGAAATTTGGATTAGAATTGATTTCCTCAATATACCTTCTTTATTTTTCGCCAAAACTTTGCACAAACCCCATTTTTCTTACTTTTGCCTATATTAATATAATTAAAAAAAGAAAAAGTGACTATAATATAAAAACAAAAAACCGTAAAGTCTTCGGGAGGTCTCACTATAAAGAGCGTCACCGTATTCGACAGAATTCCCTTGGAACCGATTATGATTAACATTCAAGCCATAATAGTGACGTTGATTAGCAGCGTTCGGTGAAGGAGAAGGAGGCAAGCAACAGCTGCTGCGATGGTTATAAGCAGTACATAAGTAAGGATCCCCTCCTTTGTTTAGAAGCGAAGTAACTATACGAAGGTTGCCTACATAATAAATAAGATATTATGAGACAATTTGGAGTAGGTGGCCAGTGCTCATATCATCTACCATGATTATGATTATTGAGTTGAGCCCATTTTGATAAAGATGACTTATTTTGATTCTTAAATAAATTAAAACATTACTTTAAAGGGAACTAGGAAAGCGCAGCGAAAAAAAAACTCTACCTATAACAAATTTTTCTGAAAAAGAGGAAAAATTTTTTACGGGGTTTATAATTTCCAAAAAAAACATAAAAAAATAAAAATTATATATAAAGGAAATTAAAAGAGAAAAGTATGTGAAATTTAAACATATTCAATAAAAATAAAATATTTTATGTTATAAAATTATTACATGAGTATTAAGTAAAGATTAATTAAATAAAATGGCGTTTCTAAAAAGAGATGATGAGAACTTAAATGGAAAAATTACATTTTCCATGGCCTATTGATTTTAATATTTCAAAATAAATAATTATACTTAATTAAAAATACTTTTACGATAAAAAGATCATAATTTGAATTATTGATATTATGAATACCCGATGCGCACGCTAATTGAAGGGGAGTTTCAGAAAAACATAATTCCTCCCCGCATTTAATACCGCCTTCAACATTTGCTCCATTTTCTAGCAATACCTTCAGTGTATTTTTTTAAAAGGCTTGTAAAAATGAATGCACAATGTTATTTAATAATGCATCGGCCCAATAATCCCTTTTATTTAAATAATGGTATCTGCCGATATTTTTACACTGACCAATCATATCAAAATGGTAAATTGAAATTATAATTAATTTTTAAAATAAAGAAAGTAATATACGATGGGTCATTTTTTGAAAAAAATGCTATTACCTCAACTATGTTAAGATGTCCGAATATAACTGAAAAGGATAAAGCAGTCCAATGGCATATCTCACTATAATATGAAGGCAAATGGCTACAGCAAGAAGCATTCGTCATAATAACCTTTTAAATTTATTTAATATTTATTAAAATAAGATATCAATTTGGTAAAACATTTTAGAATAGAATAATTATATTTTATGTGAGGTTATCTTGATAAATGCTTATTCTGCGTTCTAGTAGCTTTGTGTAAATTTTAATAAATTATAATAATAAGATTAATAAAAGAATAATTAATTATTTCATTTATACACTTGAAAAATGACATATATAGATTAAAAGAGAGATATTCATAACGTGTAAAATTTTGAAAGTATTATTATAATTTTAATTTGAAATATATTTTACATCTTTATCGATATCCAAAACAAAGGCCAATAAGGTTTTAACCATCGTGTAATTGTCGTCAACGCTGCAGTACATTAAAGGTGTTATGAGAGTCTGATAATTAATTAATAAATATTTAAAAAATAAAGCACACTCTTTTAATTTATTATTTCTTGATAGGTGTATTGAAAATCAATGGTCCGATCCGATCTTTGCTAACAGTGTAGTTTTTATATTTATAATATTTGACAGAAATAAAATAAAACTTCATTTGAGAATAAAATAGGCAATGTCCAAATATTGATGTTTAAAATCTATTGTCGGGTTTGAAGGGACTGTTTTTCCTAAAATCAAATCATAATCTTTCCTTAACTAATATGATATTTAACCTCACCATTTATTCTATGTGAATTAAATGAAAAATAAAATCACATATATATTATATAATAGATTTAAAATTTAAATAAACAAAAGGTCTAAAAAATTGGATTAAAAAACTGGTAATTAGATAAAATGAAGGAAACATTATACACGAATAAGGTAGAAGACGAATATGGGCAATTTATAATTTAATTTTAGGTATTAAATTATTTTGTATATTGAGTTAATACCAACTAGAAATGAACTAAGAGTTATAATTTCCCAATTGACAATATCTGTGGATGAATAATATCAAAGTATAAATTTTTAATAACCTTTTTTAGACTAATGTGTCCTTTTTCAAAATTCTAGACGCACTATATTTTTGAAAAAGTCACTACTTTGGCCAAGTTATTAACCTCAGTGTTCTCGATCTTTAGTTGAGACTCAACTTAAAGGTTTTAGTCAATTTTTAGGCAAAACCTTGGTTTAGCTGAATTGGAGTTGGCCAAAGTTAAATAATTTAACATTAACACCATATGACTAAAAACACTATAATGATCGGCAATACAATATAAAAATGAAAAAATAAAACAATTTACCTGTTGTTCAAAATAAGCGTCCTCGTCAATTATATTAATGGTCAAATTATTGATATTGTTTCTCAAAATGAAAAAATAAAACAATTTACCTGTTGTTCAAAATAAGCGTCCTCGTCAATTATATTAATGGTCAAATTATTGATATTGTTTCTCGGGTTTCCGCCATTTCCAATTGAGCTAATGCTATTATTAACGCTGAAATTCAATAACCCACAAGAGTTTTTATCTACATTCGTACTAGAGCTGAACGTTTGAGATTGAGAAAGCAATTTTAAGACATTAGGCACCAGGTCAGGATTACCACTACTCAGCATTTGAAAGGCCAAGGCTTGCCTACATCTCAAATCTATGAGCATGGATTGTCTTTTATCAGTATTATTGTTTAAATTGTTGGCCAACGATTGGGGGCATGTATTATTATAGCAATTATAGGTATTGTAGGCGTTAAAATTAGATAGCAGGAGTTCTTGGTGGAATCTTCATGGGGAAAAAAGAAGTTAAATGTAGAAGAAAAATATTTATAATTGTCTTAACCTTTGAGAATATTCGTTTAAAAAAATAACACGAGAGCATTCATGGGGTGAGCACGAATCTAAATTTCAAACTATTATATCTCGATCATTAATTTGTTTTTCGTCGTGATTTATAGAATATACTTAAACATTCTATCTAATATAATATTTTTAAAACTTGATCCATTAAAATTTTTTATAGAAGTTATCATAGTTAGCCAAAAAAGAGTTGTAAATTGATTAAAAATCTTTGATATCTTAAAAGGCACTCATCAAAAGAGTCATTAAGCTACTGAAAAATCCAGATCAACATAATTATAGGATTTTGTAATAGTTTTTTTTAAGTCTAGGATCTGTATGAACCCCTCGTGTTTTCAGAGATTAATTAGTACCTAATTGCAAATACGATTTTTTTATAAATACTGATAATGGATATCAGAGACATAGAGGATTGGTCAAAATTTAAGATCCAATCTGAATTTATGCAAATTTCATTTTCAGATCCGGCCCGGGATTACTTTTTAAAAATTTAACTAGGTTCTAATTTATTATTTGATAATTTTTTCAGCGCGGCTCGGCATTCTTATTATCATTTGGGTTGTATTTTGCATATTGTTTCAAAAAGAAATTGAAAATATGAGCAATAAATGTATATTAAAGGCTATATGATTTACCATATTTTCAAACTGATTAATTGATATAATTTGAATATTTTTAAATAATAATTCGATTAGTTTTTGTGCCGGTTTCGGGATTGCAGATCTCTGACTGGTATAAAGAAATTATCTTTAATATTTGTTTATGTAATTTATTTCTAATGAAATTTTATTACTATCAGTCGATTCACAAATTATAAACTTATCCTATCTTTAAACTAGGGGTGTACCGATACCACTTTTTGGAGGCCGATCCGATCCGATATTAAATTGATATCGGCCGATTACCGATCCGATATCATATATAATTTTGTATTCTGTAAAGATACCAATGGTTTTAATTTTTAATATACCTTTTATTAGTATAACATCTATAATCTAAATATACCATAACTTATGTCATTTAAATATATTATAATATTCAGTTATAGTTTATATTCAATTCATTTGCAATTCTATAAGTATATAAAATATTGTTATTGTTAAATTACTTTTATATAATAAGTAATAACATTAATCTATATATAATAAGTAATAAACAAATATACTATGAAATTTGAAATAAATATTTAAAATAATATTTAACAATAATATAAGGAAAATTTCTTTTTAGAAATACCAAAATTTTCGATATATCAGAGGTCAGCCAGCGGCGATGGTAATTGTCAATATCACCAGCTTCACTAAAAACAGATTCTGAAGAGATTATCGCACACTTTTATAAACGGAATGCGCAAAAAAAATAACAATATGGCAGAATGTTTATTAATTTATTATTATTTAAAAAAATATACATAAAAATAGATTTCGATTTTATTTATAAAAATAAATAATTTTAGATAACTTTTTTTTTAAAATTTTATTTTTGTTGTGCCATTTTATATCGAATTGGATCGGAAAATTATAATATTGGCCGATAACCGATATTTTAAAATGGGTGAAATATCGGCCCGATCCGATAAAAATCGGTGCATCCATGCTTTAAACCATTATAATAAAAAAAAACAATATTTTATGCAAAAAATTAATAATACACTCTGGACAAACTTTTTATTATCAAAGATATTCAATAATTCTTTATTTACAACCGCAATAATCTATTGAATATTTCAAATCAGACAATAAACAATGGCGTAATAATAATTTTCTTATGTCATGTGTATCATCTGATATTGGAAGGCTAATCACTACACTTACAATATTTAAAAAAGTTTTTCAAGAAATCTTAGCTATATGAACTTGTAATAGAGGTTGGAATTTGCATATCTCTTTGACATATCATTGTATATAAACAAAGAATTTTAACGAAAAACGGGTCCATAAATATTCCCCATATTTTAAATATAACGATTAAGTTTTGGAGAAATAAAAAAAAACAAAATACACTCAATCATGTGTGATAATGCATCCGATATTGTCTTGGCCATGAGAAACGAAAAATTTCAAAGAGTTTCCTATTTAGTCCTATAGTTATTATTTATAGAAAATATTTTTAAAAATATAGAATAATGAAATCTATGTAAATATCGGATAGGTATAGATTTTAAAAAAAATTGGCGGATCGGCACAGCCCTAATTATTATAAATATATCTTTTATCGCGTTTTTTTAATAATGTTTAGGTTAGTAAAATTAAATTTAAATAGTAAGCGGAAAATAATCCCCGGAAAAAAAATCCCTGGAAAATAAACAGAAAAAAATTCCCTGGAAAAAATTTCTCCGTAAATAAATTCCCAATTTTTTTCGATTTTAAAATAATATAAAGTGAAAAATAATTCCCTTTTTAAGTATCAAAAATAAATTGATCAAATTTTAATAAAAATTTTGATCTTTTATAAAAGTTCCTTTATATATAATTAAATATTTTGCAATTTCTTTTAAAAAAATCTCTAAGTTGAAAAACAATTTATATTAAAACTTAATCCTCATTTTCTGAAGATTTTTTTCAAAATCAATAAATTTTTAACAAACCAATAAGACAAAAAATTTTTATCACAAAACACATTTTCGCGAAATTTTTATCGCGAATGTTTATTAAAGTAAATTGATTTTATAGATAAATATCGCAAATCCACATTCGCATGCTAATCAGCGAAGACCATATAGAGAATTTTTTCTAGCAGAACTTTTACCGAGATGAGCTAATATATAACAGCGAAACTTTTATCGCCAATTTATAATGGTGAGCGAAAATCATTTGGAGAAAGCGAAATCAAATCGAAAAGACAATTGAGCGAAAACTTATTAATGCAAAATAAATATCGAGGAAAAGCGTGAAAGCAATACCGCGATAATTGCTAATAGTGACTATTTTTTTTAAATCAATAGAAAAAAAGTATTTCATTCATTCATATATTCCTCTGAGCAATTATCTTTTAAACTGAATATCCTTTTATGGGCAATTCCGTTATATCTGAGCATTAAAAAATAATTCTGGATATTCAGTATTTTTTCTGAGCTTTGAGTATTTTCAACGTTCAAGGGGTGTTTCAGTTTTAATTCTGAGCGATTAAATAGGTTAATTTCAAAATATAAAACTCGATAAATCTGGTGGTATTTTTTATACTTTATAATTTCGCAGCGATAGCATAAAAAGTATTCAAATAGATTTTTGACATTAAATCAAAATATGATACAAAGTTAAGATAGAGTGGCTACGATGAAAATGAAAAGATTACAATAGATTATTTTACAATGCTTAAATAAAAAATTATGGGGATAACTATTATATAAAAGGGAATTGATAATATGATGTTAATTTATGTCAAACGAATCCTTATTATTTTTCAGCTAATTGAAAAAAAAATCGTATGACCAATTATTTTTAAAGGTAATTATGAAGATCCTCAATTAAAATTTCTCAATTGGATATTTAGAAAAACTTTTTGAAAATGATAAATAATTTCATAATTTTTTTTAAAAAAAACTATGTTCAAAAAATTTGTAAAAAAGAATATTTTTTAAAAGAAAAAAAATAATATGAAAGTACTTTTTATACAAATTTCTTTCAGTCATTATAAATCTTTAAAATTCTTTCTCATTAATATCTAAAAGTTGGGGAAAATGTTTAAAGGCAAAAAAAATTTTATTTAATAATCTTATAATTAATTGAAGCCTCGAAACTTCGAGAGTTGAAGTTTAAAAAACAACTTTAGATTTATTTAAAGATGAAACCTGACGGTCAGGGCCAAAAGATCGATCTTAAAAAAATTTTTAAATTGAAAATTTGGGCCAGACCATTACAATTAAATGTTAACTGATGAAAATATTTTGCTAAATATCACAAAAACTAGGTATTTACGAGGTAATTAAGCTCAGGGTTTTGACATAGTATGCATTAGTTTATTTTATAATTTTTTGTTAAAATTTCACTAAAATTGGGTTCGGGATAAAACCATAACGTTAAGTTAAACATTATAAGATTTAGGGTTATTCGATAATATTTTGAAAATTAGGTTAAGTTTAGTTTAACATTAACTACTTTTTATGTTTATAATTTAGGTCAACAATTATATTGGGGAAATCTTTGAAATATATTTTCCAGGGAATTTTTTTATTTTTAGGATTTACTCAAAATTTTTAAATATTTTATTTCTTGGATATATTTCAAGACCAGCAGGCCCGGCCGTCGTATTTTAATTATTTTAAATATATAAGCCGGGACTAAAAAAAATATTTTTTAAAACTGGACTGGGCCTGATTGTTTTTTTTAAATATCAGGGAAAAAATTTTTGAAAAATATAATAAAAAACGGGGATTTTACATCCGTGAAATTTCTATCCAGGGAATAATTTTTCTGGGGATTTTTTTACCGGGAATTATTTTCCTATATTAATTTTAAATTACTGTAAAAGGGTAGAGGGCTTAACTGAATGATATGAATGAGGCAATAAGATAGAACTGGCTTGTTGAACATCCTCAGGTATAATGTGACTGCCGTCTCTATGTTCCACCAACGTTAAAATAACCCTCAGCCAATCGTATAGTTCTGGTATCAAAGGTCTATCCACTCCAAATATATTGCTCAGTAATTCGTATTCCCTTTAAAAAAATATATATAGCAATGTGATCTAGAAGTCTTTAATGCACGGCCTGGGCAATGTCTAAAAAAGTTTATTTGGTCAGGGCTGGGCAAAAAATTAACAGGCCGGTACGGACATACAAATTATTTGTCTGGATTATTGATGAATCCTGATATATGATAGAAGTGATAATCAATAAAGTCTAGTCTTTTTAATTTAACCACTCCCAAATATTATAACAGTTGTTTATTTTGGTGCCCAGCTACATATATTGCGGGTTAGGTCTTGTATTTGGCGGGGAAACCTTAGTAAAAAAAAATCGGAAACGAGCCGGGTTGGGCACAAATATCGCCCATTTATTTCAAAAACTCCGATCCTATATAAATTTTTCAAAGGGTTTCTTGAATATAAATTACATTATAATTACAAGTTTTTTAATCATTTTTTTTATATATATTAAACAATACTTTTTTTTATCCCTTTCTTAATAACCATTATGGTCGATTGAGCATTATTAATTTTAAATCATTATGTTGACACACCGATAATGAGAAGCGATGTAAATATATTTAAAAATTTTTTTAGTATCCTATATCAAAGCGCTAAAACATGATAAATTGGAAGGTTTGTGCGCCAGCATATTGAGTTTTTTAGCGTATTATAATTTAAAATTTTTTTTAAAAAAAAAACCATAAAAATTGATATAATCTTTTTTACCTTCTCTATACTATAAAAATGTAACAAGCAACAATATTAAATATTAACTTAAAATATACGCTACTACAATTCTAACCATTTTAGTTTCAAATGTAATAAACTAGAAAAAATAGCCTAGATATGGTAATCAGTAGATACGTTAAACTATATATATATCGTTAAATTATGATCATTTCCAAGTAAGCGTTTTTTCACATAATAAAGCTAATAAGGTTCCTGGGGGAAAAATTTACAAGATTATAAGTTGTAAAAATTCCACGCATTTCGGTAAAAAGTTTATGAATAAAAACATAATGAAACATGTTATAAACCTAGTGTAAGCGTAATTTATAACGGAGTTAGAATTGAAGATAAAATGAAAATCCCTGATAGCCTCCCTGGTCCATACGGGTATTCTGTGAGGGCATCTACTAAACACATGAAGGCTAGATAAAGTGTGTTGATGCTTAACTCCGGTAAGATTTAACGAATGATTGAAATCAAAAGTTCGGCTGTTTAAACTTTTATTGTTTAGGATATTGAAATTGCTGAAAGCTTGATAGTGATAGTAATGCCTGGGGAAGCCGTGAAAGTTTGGGTTTAACCAAAGGAAGGAAGTCGCTTCGGTCACGTTATCGACTATGTAAGGTATTTAGGTAAATGAAAATAAAATTTATTAATTAACATTATGACTTGATTTGTAAAAGTAGGGAACAGTGGGACTTCGTTAGCTCTACTAGTAAAAGAATTTTTAAAAAACTTTCTCAAATGAAAATTTTATATTATTTAGCAAAAAATTATAAGATAATGGTGGTTTTATTTGGGTAAAAATATTTTTAAATTCTAAAATTCAAATTTGTCAGCTCTAGCCCAAATTTTCAGATTTTTTCTAGCATAGGCTGGTTTACATCTTTCTTTAAGTAAAGCCAAATTAGTCCATTCGAGCAAACAGTAATTTAAAAATATATATTTATAATTATTGAGGGTTATATTATCTCATCCCATTGATGGCTCAGAAAGTATTCGAACAAATTAAAACTATCTATAGAAATTCATGTCAATATTAGTTTTAAAAACCAATTCCCGCCTAACAACATAATGCCCTAATAAATTCATCCTGACAAGTGGAGAGAACATTTCCTAAATAAATATTAATTAAATAATAATATATATATACAAAGTATTGACCTGTTTGATTAAAGGTACTACACTCTTTAGAGCTAAGAACTTTGTCCAAAGGCATCAGCAATGAGCCATTCGTTTTAAGGATATTTTTGAAAGAACCCTTCATGTTAAAAGATTTGGATTTGTGTTCCTTATTATCAAAGAATTTATTATCAATATTATTCATCATGAGGTTGTTATTCTGATCGGCGTTGGTTAGACATTTATTTTTACGTTTGGGTGGGGAACTTTGTCTCTGAAAAGATTTGAAAATGAAAGGTCCCGATTTGTGTAGATTGGATGAGGTTGAAGACAAAGAGAATTGTTTCTCACTCACTTCATCAAAATGGCATAGTTTTAACTGGCCGTTCAAAATTTTATTAACTGATGGAAAAAAAAAATTGATAAATAGAAAATATAAATAAATAAGATAATTTGTATAGTATTTAACAGAAATATACGGATACGGAGTATAGATATCGAACCCCTACTTTTTATTCTTAGTCGATACCATGGGCCAATACCAAATTATCCAACCTTCTAAAGGTTAGTTCAATAATTTTTCGATAAATTTTGCACAAAAAAATTATATTTTAAATAATCTATCGTAAATTTTTTTATTCTTAAATAGTTTGTTTTAAACCATTCTTATTCGTTATTTAGTAAGATAATAAAAAAAAGTTGCCGTTCTCGTGCTGCCTTACTTTTTCCGATAGATATTTAAATTTTCTTAAATGATCTTTTACAGGCGCGCGCAGAAATCTATGCCCTATGGAGGGAGTAAATTTGTTGAGCTATATTTCCCAGAGATAATTTGAGAGGTAATAATTTTCGCCTCCCAATTAAACAACTTTTTATTATATTTTTCGTTTTTCGCAGAGCTAGCATCTTTTCTAAGAGGATTTAATCGTAAATCAGAGACCTGCAGAGTACCTACGGCTCGACCCGGATTTTTTTTTTAAAAAAAATTTCAGGCTCGGCCCAAATTTTTTTTAAATATATATTATTTAATTTTTATAGCCAATAATGGCAAAAATATATGGTTTTAGGCGGGGTATTTTTTAAAAAAAAATTTAGACCTGGGCTGGGTATTATAAAAAAAATTAAATACGACCTGCCTCGGATACCCGGGTCGGGCTTAAGGCCGAGCCTGCAGGTCTATGGCATAAATTTAATAAAAAATCTCACATATTCAGTATTGGACTACTTCCTTTGTTACATTTTTCCTAAGTTTCATTTTTTTAATATTATGCTTCTCCAATCTTTTAAAATTTATGGAAAAATCTTTGCAAGAATCATTGTAATGCTTTATTAATGTTCTCATACAAGTATCGGTGCTGAATGGAACTATGCCAATCCAAAAAAATTTCACCGATCCGATATTTTCCGATATCACTAAAACACCGATCCGATTCCCATATCAAATTGATTTTTATTTACCATCTATCTATATATTAATGTCATAAAAATATTAATATTTTGTCTAAAAATTTATAATCTCATTTATAATATTTGCAATGTTTATGGGTGAATGTATCTTTTTAAAGACGACTTAAAGTTAGGGTTGCTTTTTTTCACCCCTAACCCAATATCTAGATCATTTTTTTCGACCAAAAGTCAAATAACATTTAGTATATATTAATATTATAGGCGGGAAAGTTACTTAAAGCTTCTTTAAATTATAATGCTCTGATTAACTATTCATCATAGTTATATTTAAAAATTTTTAAGTGATGTACCATAGAAAAGTGCCATTTGTCATGATAATTATTTTTGAACTTTTTTAAATGAAATAGAAAAATATATATTGTAGACATGTTAAATCAAAATTTCAGTGATGATGTACCATAGATAAGTGGTAATTGTCATAATCGCTATTTTTGAACTTTTTTGAGTTTCTTTAAAGCAAATTGCTAAAAATATATATTCTAAACATGTTAAATTAAAAATTCAGTGAGGATGTATCATAGATAGGTGACAATTGTCATAATCGCTATTTTTGAACTTTTTTCAATTTTTTTAAAGGAAATAGCAAAAAATATATATTCTAACCATGTTAAATTAAAAATTCAGTGAGGATGTATGATAGATATGTGACAATTGTCATAATCGCTATTTTTGAACTTTTTCAAATTTTTTTAAAGGAAATATCTAAAAATATATATTCTAAACATGTTAAATTAAAAATTCAGTGAGGATGTATCATAGATAGGTGACAATTGTCATAATCGCTATTTTTGAACTTTTTCAAATTTTTTTAAAGGAAATAGCTAAAAATATATATTCTAAACATGTTAAATTAAAATTTCAGTGAGGATGTATCATAGATAGGTGACAATTGTCATAATCGCTATTTTTAAACTTTTTCAAATTTTTTTAAAGGAAACATCTTAAAATATATATTCTAAACATGTTAAATTTAAAATTCAGTGAGGATGTATCATATATAGGTGACAATTGTCATAATCGCTATTTTTGAACTTTTTCAAATTTTTTTAAAGGAAATATCTAAAAATATATATTCTAAACATGTTAAATTAAAAATTCAGTGAGGATGTATCATAGATAGGTGACAATTGTCATAATCGCTATTTTTGAACTTTTTCAAATTTTTTTAAAGGAAATAGCTAAAAATATATATTGTAAAGATGTTAAAATAAAATTTCAGTGAAGATGTACCATAGAAAAGTGACAATTGTCATAATTGCTATTTTTGAACTTTTTCAAATTTTTTTAAAGGAAATAGCTAAAAATATATATTCTAAACATGTTAAATTAAAATTTCAGTGAGGATGTATCATAGATAGGTGACAATTGTCATAATCGCTATTTTTAAACTTTTTCAAATTTTTTTAAAGGAAATATCTAAAAATATATATTCTAAACATGTTAAATTAAAAATTCAGTGAGGATGTATCATAGATAGAAGACAATTGTCATAATCGATATTTTTGAACTTTTTCAAATTTTTTTAAAGGAAATAGCTAAAAATATATATTGTAAAGATGTTAAAATAAAATTTCAGTGAAGATGTACCATAGAAAAGTTTTTTCAAATTTTTTTAAAGGAAACATCTTAAAATATATATTCTAAACATATTAAATTTAAAATTCAGTGAGGATGTATCATATATAGATGACAATTGTCATAATCACTATTTTTGAACTTTTTCAAATTTTTTTAAAGGAAATATCTAAAAATATATATTCTAAACATGTTAAATTAAAAATTCAGTGAGGATGTATCATAGATAAATGACTTTAACATGTTTAGAATATATATTTTTAGCTATCTCCTTTAAAAAAATTTGAAAAAGTTCAAAAATAGCGATTATGACAATTGTCACCTATCTATGATACATCCTCACTGAAATTTTAATTTAACATGTTTAGAATATATATTTTTAGCTATTTCCTTTAAAAAAATTTGAAAAAGTTCAAAAATAGCGATTATGACAATTGTCACCTATCTATGATACATCCTCACTGAATTTTTAATTTAACATGTTTAGAATATATATTTTTAGATATTTCCTTTAAAAAAATTTGAAAAAGTTCAAAAATAGCGATTATGACAATTGTCACCTATCTATGATACATCCTCACTGAATTTTTAATTTAACATGTTTAGAATATATATTTTTAGATATTTCCTTTAAAAAATTTGAAAAAGTTTAAAAATAGCGATTATGACAATTGTCACCTATCTATGATACATCCTCACTGAAATTTTAATTTAACATGTTTAGAATATATATTTTTAGCTATTTCCTTTAAAAAAATTTGAAAAAGTTCAAAAATAGCGATTATGACAATTGTCACCTATCTATGATACATCCTCACTGAATTTTTAATTTAACATGTTTAGAATATATATTTTTAGATATTTCCTTAAAAAAATTTGAAAAAGTTCAAAAATAGCGATTATGACAATTGTCACCTATCTATGATACATCCTCACTGAATTTTTAATTTAACATGTTTGGAATATATATTTTTAGATATTTCCTTTAAAAAAATTTGAAAAAGTTCAAAAATAGCGATTATGACAATTGTCACCTATATATGATACATCCTCACTGAATTTTTAATTTAACATGTTTAGAATATATATTTTTAGCTATTTGCTTTAAAAAAATTGAAAAAAGTTGAAAAATAGTGATTATGACAATTGTCACCTATCTATGATACATCCTCACTGAATTTTAATTTAACATGTTTAGAATATATATTTTTAGCTATTTCCTTTAAAAAAATTTGAAAAAGTTCAAAATCAGCGATTATGACATTTGTCACCTATATATGATACATCCTCACTGAATTTTTAATTTAACATGTTTAGAATATATATTTTTATCTATTTCATTTAAAAAAGTTCAAAAATAATTATCATGACAAATGGCACTTTTCTATGGTACATCAATTAAAAATTTTAAAATATAACTATGATGAATAGTTAATCAGAGCATTATAATTTAAAGAAGCTTTAAGTAACTTTCCCGCCTATAATATTAATATATACTAAATGTTATTTGACTTTTGGTCGAAAAAAATGATCTAGATAATTGGGTTAGGGGTGAAAAAAAGCAACCCTAACTTTAAGTCGTCTTTAAAAAAAAAGATCCATATTTTGGGTCGGATTGAATAAAACGACCCGATGTTTGAGTCTGAGTCAGAAAAACGACCCAAACTTTGAGTTGGAGTCGAAAAATACGACCCAAACTTCAAGTTTGAGTCAAAAAATACGACCCAAACTTCATGTTTTAGTCGAAAAAAACAACCCAAACTTCAAGTTTGAGTCGAAAAATATGACCCAAACTTCAAGTTTAAGTCGAAAAATACGACCCAAATTTTGAGTCGGAGTCGTAAAAAACGACCCATATTTTGGGTCGAGGTCGTTTTTTTCGGCTTGGACTTGGGTCGGAGTCGAAAAAAACGACCCATATTTTGGGTCGAAGTCGTTTTTTTCGGCTTGAACTCTGGTCGAAGTCGTAAAAAACGACCAAAACTTTGAGTTGGAGTCGAAAAAAACGACCCAAAATTTGAGTGAGCTCTGTTCGAGCCGACTCGGCTAAGCCGATTAACAACACTAGGTGAATGTAATGTTAAATAGTTGCAAGCTATATTAGGCCGATTTTTAAAAAGGGCTATATTATTATATAACCCTCGAAGCCAATAGAAGTCCAAACCTTCCTGCCATATGTGGACAAAATAAATACGCTTGAATAATTTACCTTTGGCCAAAATCTTGAGTTAACCATTTTTAAAAATTGTCTAAATCGAGCTACACTTAAAATTCTTTTCTTGTTGCAGATAATATAACAAAAAATAGTGTAAAATTTTTAACTATTATTTTAAACATTACAACTAATAAATTGTATTATGGTTTCTTTCATTAATATACCGTGATGAATGTATGAATAGATATAGGCTTCACAGAAGTAGGGTATAACGGGCCTACCCATAATCAGAGCCACGATAATATCAAGTGTTATTTCGTAAATGGTAGGTTTGAGTAAGTTTGTACAATTATCATTGGGATATAAATTATTAGTTTTAAAGAGAGAAAATGTTTTTGATTGTACGTCAGACTGTGTAGAATCAGGAGTCTTAGAAAAGAACAAATTCATAATTCTCAACCCGGTTACGTTAAAAGAACCGATATTTTGAAAATTTGACTCTAAAGAGCATGTTACATTATCACTCGCGGCTGATTCATTTTGATTACAGAAAGCAGTCTCCTCTGAATTGGGAGTATTATTATCATAATTAACGCTATTTTCGTTATCGGAATAAAGGGATATGATTTTGTTAGTTATTTTTGATATCGAGAAAAACTGATCAAAAGAGCTCTCGTTCATAAGCATTAGGAGACAAAGTTCTTCGCACATAATTTCCATGAATGACGCGGCGTAGACCGAGGCGTATTCCTTGATAAAAGCTGCTAACTAAAAAATACGAGTAAAGATTATATAATTTCATGTTTCATAGTGATATAACCTTGCAAAATATATTATTTTATTTAAAGTTACTTAATTCAAAACCAAAACTGCGCATATATTTTATAATGTTGTTTACCCTCCAAACCTACATAATCTGCTTAAAAATTTGGAAAAATGCACTTATATAACAAGTGGCGAAAAAATGTCGCATTTTGTAATCTTCATAACTTTAAAACGAAGCACTCTTTTTCCATGAAATGTTATATTTTATTAAAGAATATATTAAAAACTTACTTAAAAAATTTAATCTTCGTTTTTTAGAAAATTGAGATATAAATGCTACAATTTGACAAATATAACTCAAGTCAAGACCATAAATTTTTTTTCATAATCGGACTAGATACCTATTATGTTGGATTATGGCGGATATACGCCCTTTTCTCAAAAATTTTTCCTATTTTAGCACAAAATATTTAAGCCATCCAACAAATTTGATTATTAAAAAATTAAGGTTTAATATAATAATAAGGATCTAACATATCCATTTTCTTACATTGATCTCAAAAGATTAATATCCCACTAATTTAAATTGATTATTAATCACCTAAATAGTTAGAATAAAGGTTCAAACTGTCGACTTTCCTAAAGGTTCAGTTTAAGGTAGGGTGATAAATTTTTTAACGGTTCAGCGGCAAATAAAAATGGTTTAACTGTTTGGTTTGAATCTGTGATTTAAATAAAGATCTCAAAGTATGCTTGTGTTTTGCATAATTTTAGGAAAATTTTTTTAGAGTGTTTGGTTATAGTCCAACATAATGGATACCCATTATGCCCATTTTTGAATAAATAATTGACAGTCTTGAGTTCTTTTTTGTCAAATTTTATCATGTTCCATCTCAATTTTCAAAAATATGACTTGATCTTTTACCATATTAAACTCATTATACTCTCAATTTAATATAAACTTTCATAAAAAATGAGTGATGCTCATTCGATATATACGATATATAAAGATTTCAAAATGCGTCGTTCACCTGGTATATAATTTTAAAAAAATTTAAAGGTTAAACATTGAGCATATTTTAACAACTTAATTATATTAATAATTTTTCATAGCAAATTTACCTTATGTTCAACCATCCATCTATGAAATTTCCCCACATCCATTTTGATACCAGCTCTCTGACTTTTGCTCATCTTGAAATTATCGTTGCTAAGAGAGTATAAAGATAGAGCTTTGCTGCAAGCTAAAACACATGTTTCTCTTAAACTAGAAATCGGTAATATCAATTTTATACTGTAAAAAAGTTCTAATTTTGTGCATTTGTTAAACCGGGAACTCATTCTTTTCACGAGCTTGGCAAAATTTAACCAAAGGTGGGCCATCAGATGAGACAATTTCGAAGCGAAAACTAGTTTATCAACGCTATCTGTCAATTTATAGTGAGCTTTAGGATCACTTTTCCTGTCCATCTCTTTGCGGTGTGGTTGACTGTCGAATGATGTATCAAAATAGGCTGAAAATCGGGATTCTGATGAATAAAGTATGGAGTCCACTTCTTTCAACGTCCAGGGAACATCATTAATACTAAAATTGATATTCGTAGAGTTATTATTTAATTGTTTATGGGGAGAGTTGGGGACGCAAAATATACATCTCATATGGTCGCGGCTATATATTTTTTTATTGGAGTTTAACTCGTTAATGGAAACATTTTTAAAAGTGTCTTTTTCGTTCGGTAGAAGGTCCTTAGGTTCAAAACCATTGTAATAATTAAAGCTGGTAATATCGGCGTCATTTTCTATCATATTCCTGCAAAGATTATCGCTAGGAATGTCGCAGATATCGAGATTATGACTAAATGTATCGTTTGAGTCGATGTAATGCAGATGATCAGGGTCGACTACATTGATAGGGTCAATCGTTTCGATCGATCTTTTGATCGTGTTCTTAAAATCACTTATTTTATTCTCGGAAAAGGTAGGATTGAAATTCCAAGACATTGTTTGTCCTAAAGGAGGGTGACGCTTGTAACCACTTTCGGGGAATAAATTATCGGTTTTCTTATCACCCATGATCCTTAATGTGTATAATATGACTAATATCAAATTATTATCTTGATATTTATTTTAATAATAATGAGCAAACATCTCATAAACGTTTGCCGCTCAAATAAAAAATATATTACTTAACCTAACATCATTAGAATACTGTTAATAATATACAATTTATATGAAATGACGCTGTTTAATTTATTTTGTTAATAATCATTTTCGTTAGATATAATGTAAATTCCTTTAAAGTCATTATATCCCTGTCAAAATTATTTTGTGCAAAAAAAAGGATTTCGTAAAGAAAAAAATTTTAATTTAAAAAAATCGATATTTTCGTTTTTTACAAATTTTTTTTAATAAAATTTTTTTAATATATTATATTGGCCAGATAATGTTCCAAAAATTAAAATAAAAACATGAATGAGGAATAAAGGGTTCAAAGAAGAGCAATTGCGTCTCTGCCATAAAGAATTCAGTGTTAAAAATTTAGAGAATTTAGGATTTAAATAAATTATTGGTTTGATTAATAAATCATTGTTATAAATTATGCAAATAAATAAGAGAATTTTTTACAAGATTTTTAAGTAAAATTTACTGATATGATGACTAGAGGTCAGCAAAGCCAGGTCCAGTTTGTATAGAATTTTTACACAAGTTGTCTGGCCTGGTCCAAATAAATTTTCGCCAGTCCTGGCTATAGTTTTTTTTAAGTTAAACCAGCTGGCCCATTATAATTTTTTTTAAATATTTGCATAGCCTGTAAAAATTTTATGGTTAGGCGTCTGATAGTGTTTTACAACCCCCCCCCCCCCCGGCTTATTAAATTTCTTCATATAAATTTTCCAGCCATCAGATTTTTAATATCAATATCAATTTTTTTCACCTACTTAAAAATCAAAAAAATATGTTAAAATTTTAATGGCCCAAAAATATGTTTTGCACAAATTGCCCAGCCCTGCCTGTTGTATTTTTTTGCCAGGACCTGCCCATTATAACTTTTTTTATAAAAATCTCAGCCCAGACTTTGAAGATCTCTAGCAATGATTATTATAATTGTAAACTAAAATAAGTTTGTATTGATATTTTCTGAAAAAAATAATTGACTATATAAATGACACTTATCAAGTTTTGTGCAAAATTATAAAAAAATTTAATAAGTTTAATTATTAAAAAATATTATAATTGATTTACTAATAGCATAAGTATCAATTCTATTAAAGATATCTCTAACTTCAGATCTTATTTTAGCACAAATTTTTGGTGTGGCATATTTAAGGGATGGGATTCGGGGATAACATGGGTCCCTAAGTAAAATATACATGTTTAAACTTTTTTATGATTTTTTTAATTAGCATAACTCTTTTATATCAATTTCATTTATATAATCTGTTTAACATTATCTTTAACTCTTTTTCATTCTTACCAATATACAACATATTGGATGATGATTTTCCCTAGTTTATAAAAAATAAGTTCATATTCCTTTTTCATACTGGGCCACGTTCATTTAAACATGTAGGGGAGATAGATGTATGTTGGGGGCACTTTTGGTTCAAGCCTGATTAGATTAAATCCTAAATATTATTTAAATCTTAAAACACATTCTGAATCCTCAAAGTATAAACAATTTATTAAAATATTTATTATAGTTTTTTTTTTAAACATTACCTCTTTAAATTAAATGCCACATCAATTGGGTACGGGTAGATTTGGGTGAAATATTTGCAATTAGTTATAAATTTATGAATATCTAAAAAAGTCCATTGTAATTACTATATGATTAACTATGACTGTAATTATAGTATATTATAAGATACACTGCAAGCTCTAATATCATATTTTTAATATTTCTATCATATGCTAAAGAGCTTGTGTTAATAAATATTTGATATCGAATTTTAAAAATATTAAATCAATAGATATCTTATATGAAAAAATTATAAAGAAAAGAAAAAATCCAGTATAAAATATCTCTTATCTTATAAAATCATATCATATCATATTATATACTGGGGAGACATCCCACAATTAAGTGGGCACTCCACCACCCTATCTTATAAAAAAAATATTAAACTTGATATATTTTCCTTTGGCAAGAAATTATTTGATGTCCCTGTCAGATTGATTGGTCACGTGATTAACCATATATATTATATTTTTTATAAATTTATATAAAAAAGGAACACATTCACTAATTATTTTTATATATAAAATTATATCAATTTTGGAATTGAAACCATTGCCTAAAAGATTTACTGAAGTCCAGCAAGGATTTGTGCATTAAATGAGTAATCATATTAAAGGTATATATTAGATTTGAGATTGATCAATTAAAATGTTTACAAAAAAAGGAGTCAAATAGCTCCTTTTTGTGGTTTGTATATCGACTAAATTTATCAATGTATGTATGCACATTATTAATGCATTTAATCGACGTGCAAATGCAAACCATAATATAGCGATACCAGGGGCGTCGCTAGCCTTTACAAACCCAGGGGGCTCACCTAAAAAGAAATTTACGGGGGGCGAAGCCCCCAAACTTTTTTATTTGTGGGCCTTCAGTCCGCTTTTGCCTGGGCTTCTCGATCTAGAAAAGGCCTTCGATAGAATCCCAAGAAAACTTATTTGGTGGGCGCTACGCCACAAAAAGGTTCCTGAAAAATATATAAGAATAATATAGGATATGTATATGGGCCATACAACAATGGTCCGCAGCACAATAGGTACTTCAGCAGGCTTCACAATAGCCGAAGGAGTTCATCAAGGGTCGGCTCTCAGCCCACTTCTCTTCATTACTGTAATAGATGTATTAGCACAGTCTATACCTCAAACAGTCCCGTGGAATATGATATTTGCAGATGATATTGTGATACTTGCCGAATCTAAGGATGAAATAAAAGAAAGATTAGTGAGTTGGATAAATATCCTAGAAACGCACGGATTAAAAGTAATTAGAGAAAAGACGGAGTATATGGTGATAGGAGGAGATGAAACAGAGAGTATTGATATAAATGAATGGCAGATATCGGCAATTGAAAGCTGCAAATATTTGGGCTCCACTATACAAACAAACGTCACAATAGAAAAAGAGATAAAGAGTAAGATTAATCAAGGATGGTTAAAGTGGAGATCTTTATCTGAAGTGCTATTTGACAAAAGAATCCCACACAAATTAAAGGGAAAAATTTACAGTTCCATAGTAAAACCAACAGACTAGAAAAGTCTACAAACTATGGAGATCAGAATGCTGAAGATGATTTCTGTGGTAACAAGAAATGATAAAGTGCGCAGTACAAGAATACTAAGTAGTTTAAAGATAGTGCCCATTAAGACTAAGTTAATGGTAAACAGACTTAGGTAGTATTGGCACACAATGAGAAGGCCTATGAACTACATAGGAAATAAAGTTGAGAGTTTGGAAGTGATGGGCAAACGTAAAAGAGTAAGACCAAAACTTCAATGGTGCCATAAAGTTAGAGCCAATATAAAGAAGTATAAATTAGATAAAAGAGATTGATGAATAACATAAAGTGGAGAGAGATGTTGAAGGAGCTTACCACCAGAAAAGGTGAAAGCTAAAGAGAAAAAAAAAATTATATTAATAAAAAATAAACTAGCATATAAATATTTAAAACAATGCAAGACATAAGAATAATATTGTATTTTCGATTATTGGTATAAAAAGATTTTGCGTCTAAAGAATTACAAGTGATAAAAAAGGTTAATTATTTCATACATATGCCTCAATCAATAATAGTTTCTAAAAACCACATAATATAATATAATTCTTAACAACTTACATTGACAAAAGGTCATGAAGCTAATATAACTCCCTGTTACCATTTTAGACAATGTTTAATAGAAAAAATTTATAGGCCTAACCAAATTAACAATTCTTGAAGAAGAGAATATAAACCACCAATCCAAATCATAAAACTATATAATGGTTAGAGCTTACTTTTAGATAACATGATGGAAGCTAGATAAGTAATAGAGAGAATTATTGTGAGAAATATTTCTAAAAGATTATCTTTCATTTTTAATGTTATATAAACAACTACACATTTGATCATTATTGCTTATCTAAAATATGCAATCCCATACTTTAAGTTTCAGCTGTAGTAATAATCTAAACTTACATAGCTACACAAATAATAGATGCTGGTTAATTGGCAGTCATTGACACACACGATGTTAACTCATATCAGAATTTATTATGTTAGATAAATTGTTAAAGCAAAAACACTAGAAATCTTTAGAAGAAATTATGCAAATATATTGAAGCCATAAGTTATTTACACGGCTTAGGATTCCATATAATAAATGAAACATTTTGTAACTATCAAATAAGAACCAGAGTAATATGATGAAAACGATTAAGATTTTATATATTATTATCGCACTATCTCTAGTTGGTATATTAGATCTTAAAATAATAGTAGTTTGTAATAATATCAAAAATATACTCGTATTAAAAATTTAACTCAAAACTGTTTTTCAAAGAAAAAAAAAATAACTTTCCTAAAAACGAGTAAAAAAAGAGAAGAAAAGATATCTAATTTATTATATCCATTGTGGGATGAATAATAAGATGTTTAATTTTAAATAATATTTTTAAATAAATAGATGGCGTTAAATAATTAAATGCAAATTGTTGCTTATATTTATTATCAAAAGCATTTATTAGTAAAACCTGTCAAATACGTCTGTAAAAGTGGCATTTTACTTAATATTTTATAACCAATTATATATAATAGAGGATTATAAACTATATTACTTACTTTTTATAAAGAAATCTCTTAAACTTATTTGAACCTTGAAAATATTTTTATAAAGAGGCATGTAATTAAATTTTAAAATGAATAATAAATATTAGTGATTTTGACTCGGCTAATTACAATATTAAACTTATTAATTTTCAATTAATAAATGATTATATTTATTTAAATAGGGTTATATAATAATTTAAATAATAAAAGTCAATTAAGCTTTAACTGTTTATGCTAAATAAATATTTAGTGAGTGATATTGATATTCTATTGTTAACACAGAATTTGATTGCAAGCTGACATAGAAAAATATAATTTATATGTATTAATCTAATCTAATAATTAAAATAATATTCATTTAATAAAAATTAAGATAGTCTTTTAGATAATAAAATTAAATCTATATATTACGTAATAGAATTATAAAAGAAATCGTTCAGGGAGCAATCAAAAAATTTATTTTTAGCTCTAGGGGCTATTAAGGAGCCATTAAAAAAAATCTTTTTTCTTCAGGGGGTTATTCAAATATTTCAGGGGGCTCGAGCCCCTGCGCGCCCTTCCCTAGTGACGCCATTGAGCGATACATCATTGAATAATGGATGGCTTTGAACAATATTAGTTTGTTTTTTTGCCCTACTTATTTTCAGTTAACTTTAATTAAAAGATCTTAGCCCCTTTTTTTAAATATTAGATAACGTTGTGACGCTGTTTTTGATTAATCTTTGTGGCCTTCGATGATGGTTATAATATCTATGGTAGTTATCTGGAAAATCCAGGAAAGATTCATTTTTTTTCTGCGTGCTACACGGGGTTGACATGTCTACCCCCATCAGCGGGAGACTCCCGCAATTTTTTAGTTTACAAGCACAATCTCTCTCCCGCAAAACTATCGCAATTAGAAATCTCACGTAAAAATCTACCGCAATTTTTAAATTTCTCCCACAATTTTTTTTTTAGTATTTTAACTTTTTTAATATATAAATAATAATTTTGAGAGACATTAATTGATTATTTTTATATTTTAAAAATAAATTTTAAATATTTATTCGAAAAACATGTCTAGTTTGTAAATTTCTTTCTATCCTGTTTTATTTTTATCCAATTTCATTCATATAAGTCAGTACAGGGGAGTATATCTACATCAATTGCAATATAAAAATATTCTCAAAATAAATAAATAATACAGATGCAACTACATTTGTGGAAATTATACATCTATCATGTATGGCCCAATATGTATGGATTTTTTAACTTAAAAAAATAAATTAAAAAGTTTAATTTAATTTCTTTAAAAAATATATATATTAGATGTATCATTTAGTTATTTAATGCTTGAAGAAGTTGAAAATATTTTTTCGTTAATATTTACAGATTTTATGAGTTTTTACAAGATTTAAACAGCTAAGCCACTCCAAACACTTAACCTGGTTTATGGAATTTTTAACTGAACAAGAACACAGACCATTTTTCTTTAAATAGAGGGTTCACAGCCCTAGTTAATAGTCTTAAAGAATATTAATTTAAATCTGCCCATATATGGCAAGAATATACGTCAATTGATGAGTCAGTACATAACCCTGGATTACTATATTAATGGGGGATGGTTAAACCTCTTAGATTCGATTTTCAAAGAAACGAATAATATTCAAAGATAAATATTTAATTTACTGAAAATATTTTTAATTTTAAAAGGTAGTTTATTGGATTTAGATGTCTAAAGTATTCTATATATTATATAACTCTATTTAGTAACATTGTGTTCTTTTTTACAAAAACAAAGTGACTTCTTAACGAGCTAACTATATTGGAAAAAAATAATATTATTTGAGAAAAGGAGGCCATGTCACTAAAAAAGTTCAAATATCAATAATTTACTTTTTGAAAATTACCACTACAATGGAAAATATTAGAAAAATAACGTTATATTACAATAAGATTGACTGGTAGTTATATATTTTATTCTGAAATAATAGATCAATAAATTTGGTGTATAAAATATTTTACATAAATAATTTGTCTTGTTTTTATAATTATAAAAAGAAAATATGCTATGAATTGTGTTTCAAATTTCAATTTAAAACAAGAAAATTCTGTGTTTATTGATAAAAAAGCATCTACAAAAACTTACAAATTATTTTTGAAATGAATTTTCAATTTATTTGTATTCTTCGAATATGAATACATCAAATATGAATAGAATATTTCGATATTTGTTTAGAATCTAGGTTAAAAAATCACAAATAAAAAAATATCTCAAGTTCAGCACATAACATAAATCTTATATGATATTAAGTCTAATATAAATTTGAAAAAATAATAATCTTTAATATAAAAAACACAATTTATAAAAAAAAATATAAAAAAGGTATTTTTGTTTTAAAAAATATATAAATTTATATATTTTTTTAAAAAGAGATCAATGAGAGCATCATGAATTCTAATATTATTTAATATGAAGGCCACAAGCAATATATGCCGTCTAAAATATTAGCCTCTATTAGAGTCGTCGTTTTTTTCTAAAAAAATTATGAAAATCTTATTTGGTAAAAAGGAACCGTTGCTGAAGGCTAGTATATCAGATCACTATCGGAATAAGTAGAATATTTAATTTCAAAAATAAAATGTAAAAATGCCATGAGGAAGATAGTTTTCTAATAAATTTCAAGAATCTCATTTTAAAATAAATAAAAATGTATGTATTTATCAGAGCTTTGAACTAATCACAAAAATAAGGGAAACTTTTTGTATAAACAAACCAAAACTTTTTTAAAAAAAGGTCTCAGAGAATTTTAATAAATATCCCTAAAAAAAATAAGTCCTCATTAAAGTGGAAGGAGAGACCGTTAGTTCCATAAAAGGATGTTCAAAATATATAAAAAATTACTAACACTTCTAATAATTATTGATTTACGTCATTTAAAACTCTTTTTTAAACATAGGGTTAATAATTATGTTTAACTTTAAAGAAAGATTTGCCAGTTCATAAAATACAAATAACTTTATACATTATAAAAACATATATTAAATATAATATTATATTAATTGGATATGGTAAATAGTTGTACAAAGTCAATATTAAATATTACAATATGAATAATTTGTAAAAAAGGTCATCATATCACAATTCAATTATTACATAATTCAGATGGTAGAAAGCTGTCATAGAGAGGGTGGTGTCTAATATAATTAATATAATACATGATTTAATATAAGAAATTTTTGAAAAATATGGGTTTGTTAAAATCAAAACTACATTAATATTAGGCTTATAGAAAATCAAATAATAAAATGTTGGTAATTGATCTGTAAATTTCTAATAAAATATATTAGGCTTCAATTTGTACCAATCAAATATTTATGCTAATTGTATTCATTCAATTTTTTATAATATAATAGAAAAGATAATATTCAAAAATTTTATTGTATATAATTGAAATTTGTATGTATCATACAATTGAAATAAAAATTTTATAATAAATTTATTATAAGAAAGTTATTCTTTTAGACATAAAGCTTTCCTAACTGTTTATTCTTTAAAATCATAGGATTATAATCATAATTCCAGCTAAGAAAATATGCTCACAAGATGTATAAGAACCCTATTTTCTTCTCATTTTAATTGCAAAATCTTACCAATTATAAATATTTATTTTAAGAAATTTTAAGCAGAAAGTCATTATCACAGTCAAATAATTAATGCAAATGCTAGAAAAAAATAAAACATTTGATAGTGGTGTTAATTTTAAAAGTTTAATGAAATATTTGCATATATTTCTTAAATAAATAATTCAAATATTTTCTATAATTTATAATTTTAATATTAATATGAATAATTTAGACTTATTATTTGCCAAAAAATTTTTTTTATTATTATCAACAAGTAAAATTTTGAAATTTTTTGATAGGTCTGATTTATATAAACTATTCAAAACAAAAATTCATGTTAAGCATCTCAAACTGGTCTAGAAAATGCAAAAGTAAGTCAAAAAAATAGAGAGGTAATATATCAAGCCAATCCAAAAAAAGATAAGAAAACTATATAAGTAAATTAATTTACAAAAAACCTTGAAAATATAAGAAATTTGAGCAATATACAATAATTAAAGTATAAAAATTATAATTATTTAGTTAAAATATGGCATAACTATGTTATAATATGACAATAAATGTTGGTTAGAATTTGAGGGAGTGGAATTTAAAGCATATGTCATCATGTTAACTGTAAAACTTGATAAACCAATATCCATTTCATATTTTTTAGAGCTCATTTGTATAAATATTTAGTTAAGTCGCACTAAATTTTGGTATATAAGCATAACAAAGAGTGGAAATCCTCACATCAAAATTTGGTCCATCCAATTTTTTTTTTAAATTTAACATATAAGTGGACCAATAGATATCCAATAAAATTTATTGGGAAAACCCACATATTATTGCCCCCTCCCCATCTTAGAATAATCCTGGTTACACCCATGTATTATGAGGTATAATAACATAAGATTATTTTCATATATAATATAGTAATCTAAATTACTATGATAACTATCATTACAACTTTATCAAGTATTACTTTAAAAATAGGTGTCCTAGGTATACCTTCTGTGGGTGAACGTGGATCAAGAGAAGATAAATATTTAAAGGGAGTTTTATGGTCAGAATTATTTTGGCTTACGATTGAATCTTCTGTTCCGTAAACACTATTCATCTATAAATTGGGTAAATATCAAAATTAAATAGCATCTCAAAAATACATATATTTAAAATAGTTTATTTATAGTATATTACATTTGTTCTAGTTGCTTTGAAAGGAGATTTTGATTTTTCTAATTCTACTTTTCCATTTTTGTATAGGAACATTGATAAAATAGATCCCATAGTTGAAAACAATAAATTTCTTTGTTACAATTTTTTTAAAGTAAATTTATGAATGAATGGCGTTACTTATAACAGTTTGTATGTCATATGGTAAATTTATAAAAAATTGATATTACCAGTGTAAAAAATTTAACAAGAAATAATCAACTTAGTTAGTAAGTAATATTTCTGATCCTTTTCATCAAGAAAAATTATAAGTTCTCCTTTCTATCTCATTTTTATATCCCATTCTATAGTCTACTCCGTAGTTAGCAAGCCCTCAACTATAGAATTTATGCATTAAACTAGTTTATAATACTAGTTATAAGGCAAGATGGTTGGAGAAGACTTCCCTCTCCCTCTACCATTAGTATTTATACTATATCCTATGGGAGATGATAGTCGTACGCCCGTCACACGATGGAACCACTTAGTTAACTTAAGAAAAATACTTATCCTTTCTCAATTTAAGCACTAATCGCGGTTTATAGAATTCATCAACAATGTCTATATCAATTGGCCCACAGACACTATTCAAGGGCAAAAATTTTTATGATCAATATTTTAATAAAACAGATATAAAAAAATTCAATAACGTTTAACGCTATATATCATTATCCGACAGTAACATGTATTTACAAAATTTTCGAAAATTTTTTAGGACTGAAAATCTATTATACTTGTATAATTTTTATAGTCCATTTTTAATTAAAATTTTTCCTAGATATATAAATAATTATAAATATTCTACAAACCTAGAAATTGATATCCCTACAAAAATTACTAGGTTTTATAATTTTAATATCAGTTAAAGCATCCAATGATTTAGATCACATACAGATATTTTAAAAATGTTGTCCTCCACTATTAAAATTGTATTAAATTTTATTTTATAATTTTTAAGATAATTATAGGATTTTACATCACCATCATTTAAATACCATGATGATCCTTATTTGATTCCTCTTAGCAATCCTGAAAAGGTTTAGTTCATTTTCTTAATTGTTTTGTAACAATATTTTATATAGAGAAATTATTCACTCTCACAGGAATCTGGTAGGTTGGCTGCAAGGTATTTTTTAAATAAATATCCACAATTATTTGAAGATTATATTGATCATCCAAATGTTAAGGTTTCTATATTTTATATCTATCTACTATAAGTTTTCATATAAAATTAGAAATTTTATTCTACAAACTCTAAATTAAATAATATATTGTCTCAAAAATCTTCTGAAGATAAATTAATACAGCTAGTTTATGTTGATGCACCATTTGAAGATATAATGTCTGTATATAATGATTTAAAATCAAATAGTATGTTTTTTTTATATAATCTTTATATATTAAAAATATGTAAAAATTTTATAAAAAATACAATAAAATTAAAGATATAGAAATCAACTTTGAATGCCAACTTTTGATCCTACAATATTTTGCATTTTTCAATAGTTCTGATCCTAATTATCATAACCATGATGACTATTTTGAAGGAAATGCATCTAGTGATGAGATTAAATCATTGACCAGTCAAGATGACAATATAATATCTGAACCAGGAGATGATGTAAGAATGAATGATTACAATATAATATTTGTTCCTTTTGTTTTTGAAAAATTTTGGCATTCAAATTCTCATTAGGCTATAAATTATTTATAATTACCATTAATTTTTACTGTGTTGATCACCCTATCCAATAATCTTCAATGCTTGTTGAAAAAGATTGGCTTTGAATGAATATCTGATATAGGATCAGAAAATATTTAATGATAATTGTATATTAATACATGAATATTATTTAGATGTATTGGTATAAACATTATACTGGAATTCAACCATATACTCAAAGATGGAAGTAATAAATCTATGCTAATTTTCTAAATCATTTCATATTGTATTGCATAATCTGCTAATTTTAGCTGACTACAAAATGTCTTAGTCAAGATTTTAGGCGAAAACGTTGGCTAAAAAGTTCAAAAATAACGATTATGACAATTATCACTTTTATATGGTACATCTTAATTAAAATTATAATTTAACATGGTAAAAAAAATACATATTTTCCCCATTAGCATAAAAAAATCTAATATGTTTAAAAATATTGCATGATAGTTGTTATTTTTCATTGAATATATAATTTCACATCTTTACAATATAAGTTATATTTTTACTCTTCTTTCAACAAATGTTAAAAAATAAAGAATATCACAATTGTCACATTAAAATGTTATCCTTAAAAAGATCATATAAAATAACATAAAATTTTTTAATATAAGTAGTTTTTTGAAAAAACCACCTCTTTTAATATAGTTTAAAAAATAAATAATTTTACAAAAATGATAAAATTAAACTATAAAAGATTTCATTAAAACGATTTATTTATAAAGATTTAAAATTTTTGCCTAATCAAAATATGTTCAAAAATCTTTTTGAACGTCTAAAAATCTTTTTTGTTTAAAATTTTGGAAGTGAAAATCACTAATTTTTTTATTTAATAAATATCAAATAAATAATTCCATTTTCATAATATAATTATTTCATATTATATGTTTTTGTTGTTGATAATAATAAAATGTTTAAATAAAAGGGGGTATTTAAATTATTTTTCTAGCTCCCCTTCCTTTAGAGCCTGGCATAATTTCCTAAATTATTTTACTAAAAATAAATGAATAATAATTAATGCTAGACATATATAACAGAACGCTGATGGACAATTAGCTGATGCAGAATTTTTGACTAATTAAGTTTTTGGCTAAGCCTAATTAGGCTTCGGCATAGTTTCTAGCAGATTATGCAAGGCTAATTTTATATATAAAATAATATTGCTTACTTTTTTTTAAATCTGGCTAAGCACATAATTTTATTTTAGGCTAAAGCCTGCCAGGTTCAAAAATTATAACAAGATATATAAAATTTATTATACTAAATTAATTTTTAAAAATGGCTAATCCAACCCCCCCCCCCCCATAGCCAAAAAATGCAGATGCTGGATTATAGCCAAAAAAAATACAAGCTTCAAAATTTCGTTAATAGATGTCCAAGCCTTTTTACCATCTCTGAGCAAAGTCTCCAGGCTTGCCTAATATTTTTGGCTAGAATATTGGATTAGCTGTTTTTGAAAATTGAGCTATTTTACAATACTAATTATATTTTGATAAAATAAGAGAAAACATAATTTCAAGTTATTTTTTAGAAAAATATATATTATCATATTTCTGCTATTTCATTTTGTCTATTATGCCCAAAATATAAAAAAAACAACTGATTGTGAAACTTCAAAACATATTTGATTAGTAATGCATGGCACATAGCGGCAAGGTAAAATCCTATTAAAAGATTTTTTTATATATTTCATTGAAAAATATCATCTGAATGGGTCCATAAAATGTGTAGTTGTGAGAATGGAAATTTGATAAAAACATGTTATTTTACCTGTGGAACACATGTGTGATAGAGGTTTATGATAATGTAGAAAAGGGTAGTTTAAATATCAGTAAAGAAACTTCTCTGGAAAAAGTTGGAAAGTTTTCTTATTTAAGTGACATGGGATTCTGCTGTTGTTGCAAGGGTAGGATATGCATGAAGAAGTTATGAGAAATGCCATCTTTTCTAACAGGTAAGAACATATCTCTTACTAGAGGGAGAAGTTTATGCCGTAAAGTCTACGGGGCAAAACCTGAGTAATGAAAACATCACCAGAAGCCAAAGAATGAAGATGAGAATGGTCAGATGGATATTAAGGTCCTGCAAAATAATTTTTTTACAATCTGAGTCCAATTTGAAAAAAAATTCTGCCCAAGCTGGACCTCAGCGCGAGTGCAAATTTTTTGTTCCAACCCGACTCGATTAATATTATTTTAGAATTAGAGTTTAAATATAATATCTAAGGAAAAATTAAAAATTTATTCACAGATTGCCACCTTAAATAAAATTATATTTAACCCCCATAAATAGGTTTTTATCATTTGTCAAATAAAGTATCAAAACCAAGTATAACATTTTTTAAAATTTATTCATAGACCTGCAGGCCCGGCCTGGGCTGGGCCGTATTTTAAATTTTTTAGGCCTAGACTAAAAAAAATTTTTTTAAACATATCCGGGCCGGGCCTAAAAATTTTTTTTTTAAATATATTTGGGCCGGCCCTTAATATTTTTTATAAAAATTTTTACATTATGAGTTAATGGTTATAAGATTATATTATATTATAGTTATGATTAATATAATATTGGGTGATGGTTAACACTACCTAACACCCACAGATAGATCTAATTATTAATTTTCTGCAAATTTATTCAAAGTATTAATATATTTTTTTATAATTCATATCTAAATTTTTACAACATATTTTACCAAAACAATCAAATAAAGGAATATCTTAAATAAGCCCCAATATTCAAGTATTATTAATATATTTTTTTATAATTCATATCTAAATTTTTAGAATATATTTTACCAAAACAATCAAATAAAGGAATATCACTTCTTGAAGTTTGTAATACCTTTCAAAGCGAAAAAGGAGAAATAAAATTAATTTTACTTAATATAAAGCATTTTTTAATTGAAAAATTTGTTTTACACAAGTATCATTTTATTTCTCTTTTTCTCTGTCCCAAATTCAAGCAATTACGTATGTTGTCAGGGACAGATCGCAGGATGACGGAAAACTATATAAAAGATTATATTAAATTACAAGAGGCTCAGGAAGTAAATGAAATACCATCGACCAGTCAAATTACGTTGTTAAACAAACTGAATCGTTTTATTACAAATGGGGCGATGGTAATTCTTATAATATGTCAATACCCGATGATGAATATTATAATTACATAAATAAAAAAATAGATGAAACATTTAAGGTGGATAATTTGTTAGAGTGGTGGGCGGCTCATCAAAGCGAATTTTTTAGCAAAATTGGCAAAACGGGTATTGGCAATTCCTGCTTCAAGTGCAAGCTGTGAGCCGAATTTTTCCACTACTGGGAGAATTCTTGAAGAAAGAAGAAGTAATCTTCAACCTGAAAAGGTAGATATGCTTCTCTTTCTTCATGATAATTTGTGAATTTTTAATATCTTTCTTGAGTATAGGGTTTCGTCAATCATGCTAATTTTTTACTTTGCAAACTGTCAAATATTTATTGCATTTATTATATTTACCTTGAGTCATGGAAGTTTTTAATTCAACATTTTTCATTATTTTTTTTTTACAATATTATATAATACAATTATCTTCTTTTGTTAAAAATTTATATTATAAAATAAATTAAAATATATTGTGCAATTAGATTATATTTTCAAAATACTATTTATTATACATGCATTTTTTTAAATAGCGATTTATTTTTATTTAATAAATTAAATAGTAAATTAAATACAATATATTATATTCTCAAAATATTTTCCATTTTTATAAATTAAATATTAGTTTTATTTTTTTTAAATGCAATATAAAATATAGTATATGCTCAAAATATTATTACCATTTTTATGAATATTAGTTTTATTTTTATAAATGCAATATAAAATAGTATATGCTCAAAATATCCATTTTTATAAATAACAGTTTTATAATTTTTATAAATTCAATATAATATTCTCAAAATATTAGCTTTTTACATGTATTTTTTAAATAATAAGCGATAATACTCGCTGAAAAATATGGTAAAATACCTTATGGGTGAATTTTTGTATATACCAGGTCGAATATAATTTTAAAAAATTCCGAGCCGGGCCTGAAATTTTTTTTTTAAAATATCCGGGCCGGGCCGTAAAAAAAATTTTTAAAAAATATACGGGCCGGGCCTTCAATTTTTAAATCCTGGCCGGGCCGTAAAAAATTTTTTTTAAAAATATCCAGGCCGGGCCTAAAAAATTTAAAACCGGGCCGTGCAAATGGTGCCTCTGCAGGCCTCTCATATATAATGAAGATATTAAATAGACATTATTAGAATCTATGAATAGTAATGATATATAAATAATATCTAATCAAATTACTCATATTCAATTTAAAGAGCCCGACCAGCCATGGTAACGCCCTTTTGCTGCTAACCAAGGAAGCTGGTAACAGCCAGGAATTTCAGAGTCAAAACACTTAGAATGGGAAATTCGATTTGTTGAATTTTCCAAAAATTAATGTTGTCATCTTCATTAGAGAATTTTGCATACATGTATTTTTGGAACTCATCAACTTCATGGCTATCCTGAAATATAATTGTCATATTCCCAGATTCTTAAATCCAAATTCTAGTATTTAATATTTGTTTTGGGTTGGGGCCTCGTATCGAGTTACCTCTTACTTATCAGGTCAATTCAGCGAAACTTTTATCGTGTAACACCTTTTCGCTAAAAAACTTTATAGCGAAGGTAATATCGGGGAGCCAATTCCGCGAATTTTTTTTTCCGCAAAAAATTTATAACGAAGAAAATAATCTAAACTTTTGTCGCGAACTCTTTCTAGCGAATTTTCTACCGAGAATGTATTTGCGCGAATTATTATCGCGAGTTATCGCTAAACAATATATATATTGTGAATGCATTTATTTAAAGGAAAACAACATAATCAATATTAGTATACCCTCCAAAATTCCGTAATTCATAAAGATTAAATGTTTAAGGATCTTTTTTCACTTATTTTTTAACATTAAGTAATCTGTAACCTTTATCTGATGTGATAAAAAATAAATTAGCCACTTTCCTGGTCTCTTCTCACTCATGGTTGTATACGAAGGCGACATTTTAGTAAGTTTTTACCCCTACCCCTACATGAATTTTAAAAATGTGCATTACGCCATTGAAAGTATATTTTAACAAATATTCTGAAATGCTTAGAATTTTTTCCAATCAATATACAAAATAATTAAAGCTAAGAATTTTTTAAAATTTTCCAAGTTCATTTTTTTAAAGAATTTTACAAATTGTTTGGAAATAATAAAAGGTAATCTCAATTTAAAAAATATTATTTCTCTAGAAAATTGTTGTCCTTTATCGGAACCCAGAGATAAACTGAAATGTAAATTATATATAACGTCTAATGTGATATATTTAAATAAAAGTTTCATGGAGATTCGTGCCACATTTTTTATATGTTTCCCAATTATTATTTTTACATAATGTACATCAATATAACCAAGAGTAATGATGGGTAAACGAAAGAGTAATAAACCAAAACTCCAATAGGCCCATAAAGTCAAACCAATATATCGCAAAATTTAATCTGAATAAAATAGATATGAATAGATATATCGTGAGAATATCTATGCAAAATTTAGTTCGAAATTTGCAAGACTTATTGAGATTTATGTGGAATTAGGTTGAAGAAAAATGAGCCCTATTTTACCTCTCGATGTGCATTATATCATCTTACCTTTCAAGTGTTTAAAAAATATATTTTCTAATTATGTCATTTTTAAGGCAGAGAAAATTGTATACATGTTAAGTCCTAAAAACAACGATTTGATAATTAATGTCAAGTATTTGGATGAATTCTGCTAAAAAAATTAAGGCCATAATTAAAGATAAAGAAGAAGGTATCTAGTATTGGAGCTAATATTGCGACTATTTTAATTTCTCGAAAGTTAATGGCGTTCATTTTGATTTAAATACTACTTTTTTGGATGCATCATATCTCATATGCACATGTTGATAATTATTAATAAAGCTAGCTTGTGTAATTTTTTTAATCTGACTTTCTAACCTGATTTGGGCTGTAATTATTGGAAACACAATATCAATAAATTATAAATTATTGTGGCTATCTGCATCTTATGTTTTTACAATTAAAAATTTACTATTAGAAAACGCAATTAATATTATATATTATTAACCCTAACCCAGTTTTTCTTCAAAATTATCATAACCCCCAAAACCCACTTTAAATTTAAAAAGTTTCAATTAAACCATATTTATCAAATGTTGTTTAAGGGATAAAATCTCGATGTTAAAATGGTTACTCCTTGTGCAAGCGCATAGGCGTAGCCAGGATTTTGTCAGCAAGGGGAAAAAACATTATTAGGTGCGTTTCCTTATGAATTATATTGGATGTCTTTTGTTCTAATTATACGCCTTCGGCTATTTTAGATTTTTATAAAAATAATTTTATCTTCTCACTTTTTTTATATATAAAAATGCTTTTTTCTAAAAATTATGAAGAATAGTCGTGATTTAAAAAAGTTATTAATTTTTACTAATTTTTTTTCCAAATGCTTCTTTATAGTTATTGTATAAATTTATGAGGGATATGTTGTGGAAAATTTTTAGCTTGGTGCCGCGTGCTAAAATTTTTTGATAACAAATAAATATTACTCTCGCGTTCTTTCATTTTACCTCCTTTCCTTAGTTTTTTTATTTTATAGTTATTTAAGCAAAAAACATTTCTATTCATTATTAAATTCGATCGATATTTCATTAAAACCTAAAGAAATTTAGGAATTGCCAATCAAATTTGGAGCGATATGAAATACAAAACTTCCGAAGCTTATACCATCATTATTAGTGCTCTTTCAAAAGTATTCTTTTTTTTAACTATAAAACTTTTATTTCCAGCGGTAATATCGTCATTAGTTAGGAAGTAGAAACTCTTGATCAAATAAAACATTTCTATACCCATTTTTGATTTAGTTTTGGCAGTTAAACTGACCCAAATAGGTCAATATAAGGAGATATTACCTTGTTTGTAGGTTTCACTGTATCAAATTACATTTTCTCAGCTATTTTTGCACCATAATATTTACACTTTAAAAATTTTCGTCACTAAGGACAAACTAAAACATGTTAGGCACTCTTTAATTTTCTATTAGCAATCCTAAGGCTGCATTCAAAGTGGAGACATCCGTTTTTTACATCCGTTCCGTCAAAAGTCAATCTCATTAAAAATGATATATATTGATTTTCATTTTTAAAAAATTATAAGTAACGTTATAAAGCTTTATAAAATTTGCCCATTTGCCGGATCCTTTTTTAAGACGGATCGGAACGGGCGCACTATGAACATATATATCATTTTTAATGAGATTGACTTTTGACGGAACGGATGTAAAAAACGGATCCGTCTCCACTTTGAATGCAGCCTAAAATACTTTCTATTTATTTGAGAAAAACATTTTTTTTGGAACACGTCTAAGTAAAAGAAAAACTTAAGATAGCAATCCAATCCCCTTAATTTTTTTATCATATAATGGTTAATTATTATTTTTTTGTTATAGTATATGAATGCGGATAAATCCTTTGCTTTGTACGATGAGATGAAATCTAAATCGATTCCCTGTAATTAAATTTATATTTCGCATATTATCTGGATTGATCTAACCAACCCAAAAATACTGTAGCTCGAACCAGCACATGATGAAGATCTTTGGAAAAGTTTTTCTGTCTAGACTGGCTATATTTTGCCCAGTCTGTAATAATTTTTTTTGAAGGAAAAAGACATAAATTTTCTTAATTAATCATACAAAAATGGTGAAACTCCTGGCCCGTAAAATATATTTCCACAAGTTGTCCGGCCTGATAAAATATTTTGTCAAAGATAACCGGCCCAACCTCTATACAACACATAATTTTTTAAAATAATCATAATTGATTTCATTAACAGTTGAGCCAGATTCACATTCCTAAATAGTATTAAGAGGTTCAAAATTATTATCGCAATATTTAGCGGTAAACTAAATTGAATTTACCAGTTGACACTTTTATGGCCCATAATTTCGAATTGATTTTCTTTTATAGATAGGATAATAGGAAGTTATTACGATTTTCTTAATGAATTTGTGTTGTCTTAAAAAAAATTCAAAAAGGCCACTTAAAGCAAGACGTTACTAGAGTGACGATATATAATTATTTTAGGGTTCTATCTAATTCTAACTTGATCAATTTTATTAGGACAATGTTAAATGAAAAATAAAGATTAGGTAGTGAGAGATATTAAATAGGATTAGGTTAATAATACATTAAATCATAAATTTTATAAGCCAAAAATTTTTTTATTTAAAGTGAACGTTAAAATTTACAATAGCTTGCTCGCTTTGATTCCTTTGCAACAAGATAACGCTGAACTACAGTGGAATTTGGCTAAAGTAATATTAAATAACGAATGATATTTTAAAAAGGTTTTTTTGAGTAGGCAGCGTCTAGGTGAGCGGATAAAGGGCGGAGCATTTTGCTTCCAATTTTTTTGAAGGGGGTAGTAATCAATTAAAATTAAATTTTTTGAGGGGTACCGATTAAATTTTTGAACGAATTATATACATTATTATAAATGTCGATATTAATAAGTAGTATTTTCCAATCATTTAATGTAGCTTGGAGTTTGATATTTATTCCTTTATAATTAGAAACTCATGATTAATAAATAAAAAATTGGGGGTTATAGATTTGGGGAGGGGGAGGTTAGCCTTCTGTGAATTTTCTGTTAAATGCTGCATAATTATTTTATAAAAGTTATTTAATCATTGAAATCCAAAATATGTGATGGTGAATCAAAATGTGCTTGGATGTATTTTTTTGCGCCAACGGTTAAATTTTTTTTGTCACTTTGTTTCAAATCGCGAAATTATTACGATTTTTTAAAACAAGATTATTTACCTAACTTTGCAGATCTCTACTATGACATATTAACTCTTACCACTTTTGTAAACTCGTCCTATCATTTCAAAAATTTTCTAACTTACAGAAGAACCACTAGAAGATTTTTTTCCGTCGAAGATAGTCCAGGCCATCATAGCAATTCTAAAAGCCAATTACGTTTTAATAGAAGTCTTCCTAAGAAATCTTAATTAAAAAAAATTATTAACTGATATTTATTTATTTTTTGTATTAATATGTCTAGGTTTTTTTTAATATTATTTAATTATATAGATTATATTTTAACTTGAATATAAAGACAATTGGTGATAAAAAAAAAATTCATGATATCAAATTATAAAACTTATTTAAATTATAAAGCTTTAAGAATAAATTAAGTAAATTTTATGAAGTAAAAATTTTTATTTTGTAAAGATTAAATTCTATTTTTAGATTATTATAACAATCATTTTTGTAATTAACATTTCATTATTTTTTGTCATTTCGAATCATGCAGCCAAATGGTGTAACTAAAGAGGTGCCAAGAGCTGCGAAATCTGCCCCTCAATATGACAAAATGCTCTATTCTTATATAAAAACATTTAATGCTAATTTTTACGATTTTAAAAATCATTTCCACCTAAACATTGTTAATTTACAAATTTAAAAGTCAAAAATAATTTTATAATACGAGATTCAATCAAATCAATAAGCACAATTAGGATCTTGAAATGAATCGCCAAAAAAACAAAGGTAAAAAAAAATATACAAAATTATTTCAGCAAAATAACTAAAAGATATTTTTATTTTTTTAGTAAATCTACTATAATATAATTTTTCAATTATTTTTTCCAAATGAATGGTTACAATTTTACGCATTTTATATAATTAAAATATTCTACTTTTTTCCATTTATTTTCTTATGTATTTGCTGAAAAATAGACGATTTTAGCAGATTTTTTCTTACAATTATATTTCATACCTTAACCCTATTATATTATTTAATATTAATTTAAATTTATCATATAATCTTATTCTGGTGCATTTTTTGGTAAGAAAAATATTATTATTTTTTATTTGCAACCATTTTTTAAGTTTAACTTATTCTGCCATCTTGAATTGTTGACTCCACTGCATGCAGTCCGATAAATAGAGCAACCGCGTTTTTATGTAACTAAATAAAAAGGAAAAGAAGTATAGAAAGTTGCATGTGATTTATTATTTATACAAATATAATATATTACAATTGGTATTGTGTTCTAACGTAAATTAAAGAAATTGATGGAGGAAATGAGCTTAAATTGCGTTATTCCTGATTTGTACACGTTCAACAATTCTCTGAGGGTCGTAACTAAGATAAGGGATTACAAAATCGCATCTTCCATATGTTTTCAATTACTAGCTGAGATGCAAAGATGTAGGATAGGTAGTAAATCTATAAAATATATTTATTTTATTCAGGATTTCATTAAGATAGGTTGAAATTTAAAAAAAAATAGATGTAACAATTGAATTTTGGAAATTTTAAATTTATTAATTCGTTTCTCTTCAATTGCTCATCGATTTATTCATCTTTAAGAGTGAATTGGAAATGAACCATATAATTTTTTTTAAAGAAACTAATTTTTTTTATATCAAATGTAAATATTCTAATTCTATGACTGAATATAATTGTAACTATCTATATAGTTTTACAATATTTTAATTTATTATCTATACTAATATACAACATATTAAATATATATATTTTTTTAAAAATAAATAAATAAACAGAACCTAGCTTGGCCACTTTCTTATTAGTTCTTAACTGCTTTTACAGAGATAGTAAAAAATGATTATATGCATTTTATAGATTTTTTTTTCAAATACCTCCAAATTATATTTAAATAATTGTTAAAGATCTTTTTTAATAAAAATCATTTTTGCAATGAAGCTATCCACCCCTTTTATATAAATATGTCTGAATAATGAAGTGTCATTTGTTATAAAGGAATTTTCAAAATATAAATCCTGTTTAGCACTCGTTTTTTTATATTCTGAATGACACCATATTTCATCATGAAAAAGAATATTTATAAATCGAGGAAAATTAAAATAATTAAAATTTCGCCTCAAAATAACTGGTTCATATGATAGGTTAGTTACCATACACAATTCCATCAAAAATATCAATTCTTAAAATTTAAAATATGTCCGATATAAATGATCTAAACTCAAGAGTAGTGTGATTAAATTGCTTGGTTGGGTCGAATTAGCATGATTTTTTGGGTTTTTGGTCGAAAAAATGAACCTAAACCAAAGCAACCAAATTGGTCGACCAATTACATTGACATGATTTATTATTATCACATCAATTATCAACAAAAAAACATGATATTATTATTTAATATTTTTTATTTATATAATATTATATTATGAAATAAAATTTATATTATATTATGAAAATGGTTTGATGTTTTTTAATAAAAAACAAAGATATGCTGCTAAATTATAATATCATTTTAAACAATAAATTTGTGATTTTCACGCCCAAAATTTTAAGCAAATTATAACATAGTTCATTTGATAAGAATTTTAAATCTTTTTGTAAATAAATCTTTTTTGAGAAAATCTTTTGTTAATTTTAATATAAATAAACAATCTTTTAGGTGAATAAAATCTTTTATAGTTTTTTTTTATCATTTTTCTGAAATTATTTTTTAAGTTTAAAAGAAGTGGTAATTTCTAAATAATTTATTTTTAAATATTTATTTTTTAAGGATAATATTTTAATTTAATAATTGTCATAATATTCGTTATTTTTTAACATTTTTGAAATTTTTTGACACATGAGGATAAAAATAAAATTTATATTATAAAGATGATGAATTATAAATTAAATGAAGATGTTCCTTGAATAAATGATAATTATATCTGTATTTTTAAGATATTCGATTTTTTTGACGTTAATGGGCAAAATTAATTGTAAACATGTTTAATCAGTAAGATGTACCCTAGAAAATTGAGAATTGTCATAATCGTTATTTTTAAAGTTTTTGTCGCAAATTCTCAAAAATGAATATTGCAAACATATTTATATAAAACTTCAGTTAATATGTACCCTGGATAAGTAACAATTGTCATAATCGTTATTTTTAAGGTTAATGGAATTTTTTTGACGCAAATTGGAAAAAATAAATGTAGCAAGCATGTTTAAATAAAATTTAAGGGAAGATATACCCTAAATAAGTGACAAGTGTCATAATCTTTTTTAAATTTTTTTGAGAGTACCGAGCCGAGCACCAACTTATAATATTTTATTGTGAACTGAATGTCAATATTTTGCTCACTTATATTTTGCATAGAGGACGAATATTTTAATATTAACAGAAATATTCATTTTTAATATTAGATTCCTTTTTCAAAAATTGTTCCTTTCATCGACCCGAGCATGGACCGGAGCACTTACTCCAAACAAACTTATTACATTAGCTTATTGTTGCGCAATCATATTTTTATATATAGAGGACGAATATTTCAATATTAACATGAAAAATAATATTTATTTAATATTATATTCCTTTTTTAAAAAAATTATTCTCTTATAATCTATAAATTAAAAATCAGAAACCAAGTAATTCAATTCCTTATTAATTATTGATATCGAATTAGAAATAATTATCTTCTAAGACCGGGAAAAATTTATTATAGGAATTTATCGATTTTTAGATATTTATTATTCATATATCATCAAAAAATGAGGGTATTATATCTTTTTTAATAATTTTTGGGATCTCTAAAATTTTAAAAATTGGCTAAGACTTAAAACGATTAGATGAGTTGGCTCAGTAGTTGACAGTTAAATAACGATATCTTTTGAGTTTTGATATTAAATAGACTAATCATAATCACTTGACAAACCACGATATTTTTTTTTAACAAAACAATTATTTCTTTTTCTTATGGATGTACCTATATTTTAAAATGGCTGTCCCCATCGATGCAAGCTGACATCATAAATTGAAAATTTATCATTTTTCTAAATGAAATCTTTTAAATATTAATTTAATATATATTTATTTCAAATTTATATATTTGTGCGATTTATCAATAAAAATATTTTATATAAATTTAGAATTGCAATTAAATTGAATATAAACTATAACTGATCATTATTATATATTTAAATAACATATGTTATGGTATAGTTGAATTTTAGATGTTATACTAATAAAAAGTGTAAAAATTTAAACCATTAGTATCTTTGCAGAAGACAAAATTAGATATGATATCGCATCGGATTGGCCGATATCAATTTAATATCGGGGATATCGGATCAGCTTCCAAAAAGTTTTTATATAGATAATTTGACATATTAAAAAAATTGGGCTGATCTACGTACAAAATACTATTTAGATTTTCTGAAATTTTATTTATATTATAATATATATTCAATTGTTCACCATAAAAAATATAGTGTTGTCTTATAGAATAAAGATATCTTATCTAACAAAATTGTATTTTTATATTAATATGTCCAGGTTCAAAATAGACCGGAGTAGTGTTATCACACGTCATTTTCCTTAAATATTAACCATAAAATATGTAAAAAAAAAAACTACTTTTAAATATTTTGAAAAATTTGCTGTTTATTTTTTAAATAACCCCGGTCTCCTGTTTTATATTGAAACAATCTAGGTTTTATATGATTAGATTAGCTTCAGCTTAGTTATTCCACTCCTAGTCCCCATAAAAATAGATCTCATGCACACCATAAACTTGAATATAAAATTTATTTAAATATAACAACGACAGTAATGAAAATATAACAAATATATATTTAAATAAATATTATTATATTTATTTATATAATTCGTCTGCACCCCTCCCCCTCCATTAATTTTCAAATACTTTATATTATATAATAATAAAGTTATTAATGTTTTGAAAAAAAATTTTTTTTATTTTCTATATAAATAAATAACTAAAAAATAATAATTAATAAACTTAACTATTTTTCCCTAAAATAATTTTTTTTATTCCGAAAAATACTCCCCCTCTCCATAGTGACGCTGCTCAATAAAAATAGTAAGTATTAATTTTCATTTCAAAAATTTTTTTGGTACTGGTAGTGATAGGTACTGTATTCCAGTTTCTGATATTGCGAAAAATGAAAATATTAAATAATTATTTTATTGTATTTTCTATTAATATATATTTATTTAATTCAATATATTTATACTCGTCGTACTTCACTTCACAGTTCACACCATAATTTCTTGGTCAAGTATTATAAATCTATAATGCTTGAATTTTAAGCTGTAAACGCTCAATATTAAAACTGAAAATTTTTTTTTGTAAAGTTAAAATAGGTATCCAATAAAGTATAAACCCCACAATAGTTTTGAAGATGGTTAAGTAACTATAAACTAATAATTATATATGACAATTTAACATAGTCTGAAAGAGAAAAAATTGTTAGGTCAAATATACTCCCACCAAAGCACCGCAATTTTAACAAATATTTAAATTGTTATGTAGAATTTATAATAAAGTTTTAATTTATAATTAGAATAATAATAATAATAAGATTAGTAAATGAGATTTATTTTTTCTTAGTTTTCATTATAAAAATTTCATTTTTGTATACTTGCCACAAATACGCACTAACTGTGAATAAAAAAAATGTTTACTCTACCCAAGGGAGCTCTGCAAATTCAATTTTTTTTTGGCCTGATCCCATTACAATTTATTAAAAACGCTATCTCCGTTATACCTATTTGTAGGCACTACTAACAACCTCCTTTACCTCTGAGTCTGAAAATATTTTAATTTATTTTAAATAAGCTGTTTCGACCAAGCAAATTAACAACAGTAAATATATGATTATTTTTCTGTTAATATTTTGTCCTCTATGCATAAAAATATGATTGGGCAAAATATTCACAATAATATAATATGGTTTGAAGTAGGTGCTCCGGTCCATGTTAAGGTCAATGAAAGGAACCATTTTTAAAAAAGGAATCTAATAATAAATATAAATATTTTTATGTTAATATTGAAATATTCGTCCTCTATGCATAAAAATATAATTGAGCGAAATATTAACATTCACAATAATGTAATATAAAGGAACCATTTTTAAAAAAGGAATCTAATATTAAAAAATATATATGAATATTTCTGTTAATATTGAAATATTCGTCCTCTATGCATAAAAATATAATTGAGCAAAATATTAACATTCAGTTCACAATAAAATAATATGTTGGTGCTCGGGTCGATGGATTTGGTCGACCTTTTAGTTTTGGTTCAATTTTTCGACCTAAAACCAGGGTCATGGTCGTGTAAAACCAACTAATTAACCACAATACTCAAGAGTTCACGATTGCAATACCGGATTATACGATATTCCTTAATACATACGACATATGGTATATATGCATATTTTCGAAGATAAAAATTGAGCATTTATATTATTTATGATATTATAAAAATTAAAACTATTATAGTATAAAGTTTTCCCTCTTTTAATGTTTCCGATCCAAAAATCTTATATCTGCGTTTTAAATTTATAATCCCCTTAGGGTTCTACTATAATCTAGTTTTGATTTTATATTAATGCTAAAATTTATGGTGTTTATAAATGATAAATAAATTAAGGATTAATTTACATTGGATGATGGAGAAGGAGATTGTAACTAAGGAGGAATACGGGATGGATTTAATAACTAAATCATCGTTGTATGTCTGGGTTATTATTTTATTTACCTGTCTACATCAATGTTTATATTTCTTAATGTTTTAATTCGCACCTTAATATATACATGGCAACTCTTTATTATCTTTTCTAAAATTTTTTAAATGTATTTTCGTCAATGTTTAAATTATAAACTAATTATTTCTTACAACTCTTTTTCTTTATGTAGTTTCCCTTTATTTTTCTTGTTAATTATATTTTCTAAGATTCCTTAAATAAATATATTTTTTTCGTTTCAGATATTTCTTTTTAAAATCTTTATTTTTTTAAAAAATAAATAAAACTAATACAAATACAAATAACTTAAGTAAAAAAATATAATATTATTTTTGATTATCAACATTTCTTTCAAGGCCAAAATAAGTTAGTTAAAAACTACGTTATAAAATATAACATTATACAATCTACAAGCTATGATCTTACAAATAAATAAAAACTACGTTTAACACATTATACAAAAAAATAATAAACTTCTTTGTTAACCAATTAGGGATATTTTTCTAAAATGTCTGAGTCGATCTGGCTCTATTTTCCAGTCAGGGCTCTATAGGGAGCCGAACATTTATCTATTAAAGTTATGATTTTATTATAAAGTTACGGCTAGGCGTATTTTAGAATGTTGGGTGGGCACATTTCCTCCTTCCTATATTCTACTGTTGTGAATATCATAGTAAGCTAATAAAATTTCCACTTACTCCACCTTCCTTTTGTCAAAAAATATACAATATGTCACGATATATAAATTTAAAATAAAAATAAGTTCAGAAAAAAAAAGACATTTTAATAATAATCTGCAATAATTATTAAAGCTCTCCAATAAAATTTCTATGGAAAAACCCCAGCTAATAGTGATTTTCCCTCTTTGCAAAATCCTAACTATACCTATAATTACAGCTTAGGAAGATAAAATTAAGAAGATTATTTGTTTGAAAAATATTTAAAAATTCGCTCGAGTTTTAAATTTTTCACAATGATAAAATATTGCTATAAATTAATAATAGGTTAAAATTATTGAATATATGATTTTACTAGTTTATAAAAATAAATATATCTCCTCAAAGAAAAGTAAAATTTCTCAATTTTTAAGAGAATGGTCTTAAGGTATTTTTTAAACGGTTTTGACCCTATTCAAAAATCAATAAACGTTCTTAAAGATCTAAGGATGAATTGATCAATATTTTATTCGATAAAAAATATTTTTAAAACATGTTAATATAATGTTATAGAGCGTTCTTATAGCACGATAATATATGACGTGGTGGATAACATGCAAGGCAGAGAATATTCAATCAGGCATCCTCAAGATAGTTTTTTATAATCTGTTTTTTAAAAATATTTATGTTTTTATTTTATATAACATTTTGAAATTCTTTATAAAACTGGCATCGGAAGCTCTTATCATTTGGGAGTACTGGGATTTAAGGCCGACCTAGTGAAACACTGAATATTTATTGTAATTTTTAGACTTAACATAATGTTTAAGTTGATGTAGAAAAATTCGTTCTTTCGCATTCAAATTATAAGGCGCTTTAGACGTGTCAGAATTAAATTTAAGCACGTTTTTAATCTAGTTTTTCTGTAGCATTATATTATGTCTAATATTTTATCCTTTTTTAAAATAAAAAATAAAAACGAACACCACTTAGTTGACTTTTTTACGACAGCCATGAGTATAGTAAGTTTTTAAATTATTTAATTGAATTAATTTATGTTCATACGTTACCTTTCTATAATTTATTAGGATTTCATGATGACTAGTCACTATATATACATTCGTAATTTTTTAATTCTAGTAGGGATTTTAGTTATATATTATTATTTCATATTTATTAGTTTCGATTTAGCATATACCTTTTCATTATAAATTTTTATAGCTACATCTCATGGATTTTTATTTGTTCATAATTTGTAAAATATTATTTTATTTTACTTTCTTAACTCATAGTGTCGCTTCAACCTTCAAGATAAAAATTTGGCTCACCAAATTATGGATTTATATCATTTTGGCAAAAATAAAATAATGATAGGGAACGACTCAAATCACCGATCATTTTTGTGAGTTTAATCATTATTCATCAATTTTCTATTAAATTTAAAATAACTGTCTTTTTATGACGATAAAATCTATAATTATTATTTTTAAAATAGTGCGATTTTTTATTTTAAAAATACATATAAAATATATTAACCTCTGTGATATGGAAAAAGTAATATGTATTATATAATCTGGTGGAATTAGACCTCTTATAATAAAATATTAGTATTCTTTAGTCGAATAACGGAAAATGTTATTAGTTAAATTTTGTCAGAATACATATATACTATCGGTATCAGACAACCGATACAATCTTCGATATCCATACACTAACAACGGTATCGGCATTACTGATATCTATTGTAAATACTTTAAAAAATATACTTGTTATATTTGATAAAAAGAACGGTTGCCTTTACTCGCTATTCAAATAAAAGTAACGCGTTACTTAAAAAATACTGTATATTATGTTAAAATTTTTTTAATATATTTCCCCATAGATAATAAAAATAAAATTTGGAATTTCACATGCATCGATTTTCCTGTTTTGGCGCGATCCAACAGAAGTCAATTCGGCAAAAATTTGAAAATAAACAAATATTCACACATCGCTTACATAATTTCTCACTGCTCATCAAAACTTTTGGTATTTTTGGTGAGAAATTCCTTAAATTTATCACATTATTAGGAAGAAAATTAAGCCAAATAAGTGGCGATCATAATGAAGCCTTCTATTTCAAATAAACCCTTACGATTGCTATTCATCAAAGTAATTGCATCGCTATTCATGGTCCCATATAGAAATGCTGTAAACCGATCTCTTGATTTTTTTTAAAATTTATATAAATGCGCTATATTTTTATAAACGATAATTATTTTTTATATGACTTTGTTTTAAATTCGTTTTTTAATAATAAGCTCAATATAATAAAAATAAAAAAATATATTATATGATAAGTTCTTTTTGTAATAATTTTATATTTATTTTTAACAACAATTGATCAAAATTTTGATCAGATAAACAAGGGGGCTTAAGCTCAAGCTTTAACTGTGTTAAGCACACGTTCAACTGGCGTTGAGAATGGGATAGTTGCATTATATTTAATAAATAAAGATTAAAAATATTTAAAGAAGTCTTTATTTTCAATAAAACTTATTAGATCATCTTCACAGGAATCTTTATTTCAGACACGCATTATAATTTTTTTTATTATCATTATCAGAATTTAATCTTATTCCTTTTACCTTCATGTGTTTTTTTAGATTTGAGCTGCTGTATCTCGAAGCGTTGCTTTTAGAATTCGAAGGCACAATTATTAGTTAAAAATTTTAACTATAATGCACATATATCAAAAATTACGAAAATAAACCAAAAATGGCAGTGCTCTAACTTGGCTAAAAAATTAATATTTTGAGTCTAGTTTTTATTTATATATTTATTGGAAATTGAGCAATTAAACCCAACTCTTAACCAGAGTTGTTAAAGTAGCGCGCTAAATTTTTTGGTAGCTATAGCTAATAGCGGCTACTTTTTTTGTAATTATGTAATTTTTTAGCGCGCTACTTTTTTTGAAAGTAGCAATTTATATTTTTCATTTGTATTATAAACCTAAATCACGTGTTAATAATTTAAAATGTCATCGCCTATGGATATCCAAATCGTTGAAAGTGATTCAGACAATGATATTAATGAAATGGAAGATACCAGGGAAGAAAATGTTCTTAATAGCTATAATACAAATTTGCCATTCCCTAGATTTGAAAATTTTTTTAAATAAATATATAACCAAAACTGGTTTCAAATTTATTTGTTTAAAATGTAAAAAAAAATATTTCCTCGAATCAATCCAGTAGCTATAACCTCAAGAAATATTTAAAGGTAAATTGTCATTTTTACATTCTAATAATATTTATTTTAAAGACTGTTCATGAGTTTTAAGGAAATGGAGAAACATCTAAATAATTTTGGTATAGGCAACTCTACATCCAAAAAGACTAATTCAATTCAAACCAAATTAATTAATAATGCAAATGACAATATTTCTAAGAATTGGCTGAAAAGTTATTGTTGATTTTATAATTTATACAATTCAGCCAATGTCCTTAGTTGATAATCCATCATTTACCATGATGATTAAAACTCTATCTCTTGGTACAACAATTTTATGCCGCCAGACACTAATGAATAAAATAGCAGATAACTTTAAAATGATGAAAGATGCTCTTATAGTAGAGTTATCTATCATATATATGTACCACGGGAGATAGTTAAACGCATAACAGAAGGTAAAAACTTATTTATATTTATAAATTGATCTGATTAAATATTTTTAAGCTTATTTGGGAATCACAGGCCATTGGCTATACCCTAGAACTTATAAAAGAAGATCTGTGGCATTAGCCCTCAAAATGATAATGGGATGCCAGACATACGCTTGCAAATAAAATTATTATAATCTATCTTATATTAAAAATATGTATATAAGCTTAAATACGCCCTTACCCTCAAGTACTAGTGTCGAGAGATTATTTAATAAGGCAAAACTTATACTTTCTGATCGTCGCTCTAGACTTGGGGATGATAATATTGAAATGATTTAATTATTAAAATGCGACAAATTACAATATATATTTATTTTTATTACATAAATTTTTTTATAATAAATGTTGATTTTTATATATTTACTTTACAATAACATTATAAGCAAAAAATAAAAAATTTGTTTGTAAATTTTTTTTATAAAAAGTAGCTAAAGCTACTTTTTTTGCAAATAGCGATAGCGGTAGCGCGCTACTTGTTTTAACAAATAGCGATAGCGGTAGCGCGCTACTTTTAAAAGTAGCGTTTAACAACTCTGCTCCTAACTCAGAAATTTTAAAGCAATAAATAAAATAAAAATAAAAAATTTTGGTCGTTGATCTGAATTAAAAACTCGGCTTAAATTATTTATAATATTTAAAAAACATAATAGAATTTTTTTTTCTATATTTTTTAGAAAAATATAAAGAAACGCGTTACTCTTTGAAGCAAGTAACAAATGGCGTTCCTTTTCTTCAAAAAAAGTAACGACGTTACTTTACAGCACTATTGATACCCAATACTGATATCAAAAATAACTGTTGTATATTTATTATTTATTGAAAAAAATAAAGATGTGATTATTTATTTATCTTTTTATAATTAATTTATGAAATTTCATAGGAAATAAAGATTAACAGCACCTCCTTTCATCAGTTTAAAATTTTCAAGGATTAGGAATTTATAACATAGTGTTTGTTCGCTAGAATTTTTTTAAAAATCCATGTTTATTATTTTTGAGCATCGGCCACTGGTATTCGCTAAAATTTAAGGTGTCGATCGGTAGATTTCTAATAAATTTTTGAAACAATCGCAGGAAGTTTTGACAAATGTTAGTTTTATGCACTATAACATTTTAAACCTCTTGTGGATATTTCGAATCAACTATTTTTTAAAATATTTATATTTTAATAATGATATATTTTTATTTATAAAACCAAAAGCTTTCATTATTTCAAAATCCTTTTCAAGAACGAATCATTAGAAAATATCATTGCGATTTACGATAAACTTATTCCCAGTGTAAAATAATATTACTTCCTGAGATTTTTGATTTAAACATGTTACCTAGGTTAGTATTATTAATGTAATATCTAGAATGAGACTATAAGTTACCCAATAATTCTAACGAAGGTTTCAACTTGTGAACATTGATTTAAATTTAAATTTGATCTTAATTTTTTTTTGATACATATAACTTTTTAGTTGAAGTTAAGACTTAAATTTATAACTCATTTTAATTTGTGATATCCGATTTTAGAAATATAGATACCTTAAGTAAGTTTAAAGGTTAAAAAGGTATTAGATTAGAAAATGTCCATTTTTTGAAAAAGTGGAAAAATTAAGCTCTGAATAAAAAAGATTTATAAAAGCATTAAGAATATGATTTAAATTTTTTTCTGTTAAAGCCTAAGAAAACCTTTGTTTAACTGCAATTAAAAGAAATTAAAATCAATGTCTGACCTCAACGAATCTGTAAAAAGTAATCCCTGAGTTGGTTCATACTTGGATAGATCCGTCAGGGATTTTTTTATTTATCATTAAATTTTCCTTTTTTCTATCATCTCCGTCTGGTTCAGTATTTCCATCATTTTTTAAATCATATTTTATTATCCATTTAATCCTTATTAATTATTTTGCTATGATTGTATTTTCTTCAATCATTCTTATTTTGTATAAATAATAATTAAGGAATACTGTGCAGATCCGATCTTTATCAAGGATATCCTTGCCATTCCCGCCCTCGTTTCAAAATCGTTTGATAATTACGAACCTCATTTCATTATTCGGCTCTGGACCGATTCGCAACTTTATGGTATTTTACGACCTTTGGGTGATGATAAAGTTATCGAAAATAGCACGAATATTTACAAAATGTTTACTACTATTATCAGAAAATGGCTTGAAAAGTGAGTGGTTTAATAAAAAACAATTTATTAACTTTTGAGTAATAAATTAGTAAATTAAAAAGAAATGAAACTTCAACGTTGGTAAATGGATATAAGCAGATTATTGAATCAATTTTTGATGACTTAAAATTATCAATAATACCGAGGAGAATTGAGAAGTACAATATTGTTTCCTTGGCTTTGTATGTAGGCCATGAATGGTTTGAAAAGATAGAGTCTGATAATTAAGACGGGCTCATATGTATAGGACATTTAGGAATAATGAATATGTCGATGCTTATAGATTTATTGTCATTACGTAAAAGTAATCGTCTTAAAGAAGATTATTTTAAGAATTAAAAAATCAATGATCATTTTATATAGTCCTTCAGTTTTTGGGGGCTAACAATTTCAACGATTTTGTTTGAGATGAAGTATTAAACATAATAGCCTCAATAATATACATACGATATTTAAAAAACTAGTAATAAGAAGTCTAAACTCGATGATCATGTTCTTGTTGATAAACCAAACGATACTTACACTCCTCCTAACCAGATCGATGATTTGCAAAACGAAAAACTAGGAGAAGTTAGTTTGATCTATTTTTTTTAAATGACATTCCTATCAATTCAGAAAAATGTAGGTTATATAATTTTTTTTAATTTCTAGTTGATTATAAAATTTCATCTCTGAATTTATTTTATATATTTATTGATCGAAAAAATTAATAAAATATAAGTTACAGCTAAATATAATAAATAATTATGAAAAATTGCATAGTAGTAGTTATTAGAGATCTGCAAAAGTGTAGTATTGTAAAATCAATACCGTATTGATAATAATTGACCTAACCTCAATTTTTACGAATAATATCTAAAATATAATTTAGAAAATTATTACAAATAATGAGTAAACAAAAAAAATTATATAGGATATTGAGAATTGTAAAATAAATAAATTCCCTGAAATAATTATATAAAAGAGTAGAAAATCCATTTTTATAATCATTTAAATAGTGAAGGTCACGGTCCGGTCTTTGGTCTGGACTGGACCGATACCCTCGGACCGGACCACGGTCTTTAAGAAAAAGATCGATCCAGACCGTGGTCCTAAATATAAAAACCTGTCCAGGACCGGTCTTTTTTTTTGTTTAAAAAACATATTTTTATAACCTAATTTAATTTGTTTTATCATTTTATTAAATATAAGAGTATTATATAAACAATAAAATTTATCCAATGATATTGAAGAAAGTGATTTTGTGATTGTGGAGAGCATATTAAAATTAAGAGTAGATTGTGTTTTTGAGATATTTTCATTTTCATCATTAGAAGTATATATTTTATGTTTTATCAGATGTCTGCTTATGGTACCTAATTATTTTATTAAGAATAAGGTTAAGTTATTATTGACAATGAATTATTCAGACAGTTTCCTAAGAAAAAATAGAACTATATAAAAAAATAACCAAAATATTTTAATAATAATACTGCTTATTTTGATTAATTTATTGCTTAAAAAATTATAAACAATTATTTTGTTACTTGTTGCTGACGATACATTAAATTTGGTACTGCAGTGAACACATACTCTATGTTTTTTATTGGGACTATAAGTAAAATGTTTCTTGGACAAACTTATGGTTGTTTTCATATTATAAAATAAAAATTAACAAAATTTAAAATAACTCCTCTAGAAAAATATCATAAAATAATATATACAAAAAAATAATATTAATTGAATAGTAAAGCAAATTTAAATAATAATAAAAGACCGGTCCGGTTCACGGTCCTCAAAAAAGACCGGTCCCGGTCTAAGACCGATAGGACCGGACCGTTGACCTTCACTATATTTAATAAAACCATTAAATCTATTATAAATAAATTTTTTACAAATCGAAAATGGTCGCCAATATTTTTGAAGCGATGAAAAAATATATAATAATAAATATTTTACAATTTTAATGGCCGCTAATATATTTGAAGGGATGAATAAATATATATATATTAATAAATATTTTACAATTTTGATGGCCGCCAATATATTTAAAACGATGAAAAATATGATGAATAAATATTTTACAATTTTAATGACCGCCAATATATTTGAAGCGATGAAAACATCTCTTAAAAATCAATACGATATTGATTCTACAATACCAAAATATCACTACGGTATTGAATTCTACAATAATAATATCAATACGGTATTGAAGCTACAATGGGTGATTTCACAATCTTACACTGGCAAAAAATTTTAAACAATAATTAGGGTCGGGCTGGCAAAATTTTTTTAAAAAAATTCGGGCCAGGCTTCAAAAATTAGGCCCGATGCAGATCACTAGTAATTATTACACATCCTCATTATATACAGGTATCAAATATTTCAAAATTTTATTTTGGTGAAGATATGCAAAAGTTTTGGTAAGGTTGCTTTAGATATTGTAGCTAGACTCGAAGCGAATCTAAAATCTGATGTTATTAAGGGTTCTGATAATATTTTAGCCGAGGAAAAACGTGTTCTCGCCAAATTAGAAGGAAGGTTGGAATCTTTTAACTTATTTATATATTTGCTAGAGTAATCTTTTAAAAATATTTTCCCGCATTGATAAACTTTGATTTATGGTCTTCTAATTATTGTTTTTGATTTTAAACATTCAATTTTTTAAATTCATAGCTCCATTAACGTTGTGGGGCTGTAGTACTAATATATTATTCATAACATAATATTGCAATATTGTTTGACTTTATAAACATGGAATGATTTAGATATAATGGAATGCTAGAAGATTTGCTAATCATATTTGCCGAGACTGATCTTGATAAGGAATTGTGGTAAATATTTTTTTTATGTATTATGAATGTTATATATATTTTTTTAATATACGATACACTAATTATATAGTATAAATAGTTATAACATTTTATTCAATGATAAATAATTGAATAAATATATATATAAGACAGGCAGTGTTACAAAAATTCAGTCAACTATATCGAAAAATGTTTTTTATATAAAAATTATTTATTGGTAGGAATTCTTAAAAATTATACTATACATTGATGTATCATATTTGAAATAACAGGAAATTGTTGAAGAAATTTAGTCAATCACGACTCACTCAAGAAATCAGGTATTAAAGAAATATATAGTTATCTAAATATTAAAATATTATGGTTGTCATTTAAAACTGGTTTCTGGTAAAATCTGCAGTGCCCGACCTGGCCCATCTAAAAAATTTATCTAGGCTAGGCCTGACAAAAAAATAAACGGGCCAGGCCAAGCGGTCAAAAAGTAAAGATGCCCAACGTGCTTAATAAACAATTGAAAAAATATTATTCTAAAGCATAATTTTGTTTTAATAATATTATCAATTTTGCTTATAATTTTAATGATTGAGTGACCTGCTACTATGATCATTTATTCATAAATACGATTTCACTTTTCTATATTTTGTGTTTATTGGTTATATTTTCCATAGGATATATTTCTGTATTTTAAAGAAACCTAGGCCGGGTTCAAATTAGGACGCGCCGGGCGAAAATTAAATCTTAACAAAGACGGGGCCTTAAATTTTGTCATTTGCAGACCTCTTCCCTATATACATCGAAAATATTATAAATATCTCAAATACAAATTCTATCCTTTGCAAATTTTTCACAAACATTTAAACTATATCAAATAATAAAATGGTTATAATCAGAGTTTGGAACTAAAATCTGGATCTATGAAACTTATTTTAAAATTTCGAGGAACTCGTTCAAACCAAAATGAAATAATTTATATACACATTTATAATGTTGCTTGATTCATTTTAGAAAGTTTATATATGTTTAGTTTTTTTGATCGTTTTCAAAGTTTGGAACCAGAAGCTGGAATCTAATCAGAACCTTGTCAAATTTAAGAACTATACCCCACTTTACAAAATTATAAAAACTATAACTAGCACCTCCTTTTAAAAAAATATTTAGAACCGGAAACAATCCATTTTGTCAGGGTTCCAAACTGTTTTAATTTTTTATATCAAATGTCTTTTTCTTACTCATGTAAAATTTTATCGGTAGTTTAATACATTTTACAAGTCTGGTATTATATAAAATTATTTCCGGGCGTATATATATTGTCATCTAGAATAATTGCATCGTTAGTTTGAAAAATCTAGAGATGTCATGGCTAAGAGAGATAATTTGTGTATATATTTTTCAATGGAATATAAAATAAACTAGGGGGTCAAATCTTTATTCATTTTAAAAAAAATCACATATTAACTTTTATTAGAATATTGTAAAATATTTATATTAATACTAATACATTTTTTAAGCCCTGAAACTCTTGAAAAATTAATAAAGAAGACAGTGAATTGCAATGATTCTGATAACTCTTTGGTAATTTATAAAATATTCTATTTTTTATATACCCTCTTCACTCCAAAATTTATTGGGCGGTTACAAATTAAATTTTTAGTTAAAATTTATTATAGACCTATTATACATAATACATTTATTGCTAAGCATCCAAAATCTAATATATTGCATGCAATACAATAGTCATTGAATAATTTATTTAAAAAAAACTTATTTCTGATAATTTTTTGTTATATTTTTTAAATGTAAATTCATGCCGCCAAATAAACTAAAGGTTCGTACGCAACCCCCTCATCCTTATAATTAAAAACTCGTAATTAATATATATCGCTGCCGAAAGTAGCAATTTTTTTATAGTGGGGTAGATATGGGTTTTAGAGGGAGGTTTGCCTCCAGTGAATTTTCGTGTAGAACGCAGATTATGAGGCGTTGCATTTACCAATACTAGCCAATCGTTCGAGGTCAAGATGCCGATATGAGAAGTGTAAAGGATTATATTTTATATTAGTATAATATCATCGTAAAATTGTTTTTATTATTTTCATAAAAAATGATTAATATGATAATATGTATCCTTTATACAACATGTTTTATATAAATAAAATAGAAAATACAATTTTTCATTTTTGAAAATTATGTTTTTTATTCATATTCTAACTGCTATATGCAAGAAATATAGCATCGCCTGATTATTCTTAGGGGTGAAGAGGATACTATATTATAAATTATTGGTATTTAAATCTTTATATAATATTATTTTATATTATAATTTGAAATTAAACTGCTATTGTATAGGTCTGCCTCAAAATTTACGTCAAAAATGCGTATCCTGAAACTGTAAAAATATGTCAACAATATTTCTCTGAATCTAATGAATCGGGTTTAAGTACCAAAAATATCTCATTAAGCGATACTCAAAGGTGATTAATTTTAACTAAAATGTTTATATAATACATATTTTGTTATTAGGTTAAAATTATAAAACAATCAGACATTAAAAAAATATTATTTAGTATCAGTTAACAAAATAAAAATAACATGCGAAGAAAATATAATAATAAATTAAAAGAAATATTTTTAAAAAATTCAAATAGACATTCTATGCTCGGCCACCTAAATTTTTTAACCTTTAAGTTCTAATTTTTTTAAAATCGATATTAAATTATTTTAATTTTATTAAGTTTCTCACTCAAAAAAGGAAATGTCTCAATAAACAAATTTTTAGTTGAATTCTTTCCTCGTGGGACTTTCCTTTTTTTATCGGATTTTTTTTTCTATGATCTGACCGTTCCCTTTTTTAAATGGAAAACCCTTTAAATATAAATGTCTTCTGACAATAAATAACAAGACAATGTCACTCTTACGCCTTGGTTGAAAGGGCAATTATTGGTATGAGATTTTACCTGTAAAGTTGCATTTGATAAATCAAACGCACAATACGCATCCATTGCGGCCGCCGAATCATCCAAACATAACAAATATTCGCAATTTTAGAATGTACCTTTATACCCTTTATTATTACCATATTAGAGAACTTCGGTGAAGATGCAATTCTATTTTTAAAAACTTTAGGTAAAAAGTTAACAATCACTGAAGATCCTAAAGAATTTACACAAAGAATATATATAGATCTAATTTTATCTCAATCCTCTGCTCTCTGCCTGACAAAATAATTTTTTAACCCATTTTATTAATATTTTGGTTTATATAATAAAATTTTGAATATATTTAAACGCTTTGAATATATTTAAACGCTTTGAATATATTTAAACGCTTTGAATATATTTAAACGCTTTGAATATTTTAAATTGAAAATTTAAATAAATATTTTTTTAGCATAATTAATAAAAAATTATTAAATATCGATATTATGAAAAAGAAATAAAATAAAATAAAAACGGGGTAGAATTAGCTATTAAATTCTAGCACTAAAAATTCCTAATACTCGTTTTAAAATTGAGTTGCGTCACCTTTGTATTTAATTAAGGTTGTTAATGATTAATAGTTTCAATTCAATCCTTTTGAAATAATTTTTGGATATTACTTTCTTAGCTTTTTTTAAGACTGTACCCCATATGCTTATGTGAGGATCTGGGCTCTGGCGAAACTATCGGGGGACGGCATGAGTTTAAACAATTAATCGCCGCCTTTTAGTCATTCATAGACGGGTTAAATCGGCACGCCAACATTTTTTACAATATATATTTTGTAAATGGCTAATTGAATTTTTTAAGAAAAGCTAAACTAAAAATAAAATATAATTTTTAGATTTCAAATTCAATTTTTTAATTTTATATTATAGGTATCATGTTATTTAAATTTTCTAGAAATAAAGATCTCTGAAGTCAACCCAGCGGTAGAGAAAACCCTTTCAAAGTGTGCTAGTTGCCGGAACACAAGGAATGCTTTTGGTTAATTTTGAAAGTTCGATCCTCTTTTCTCTCCAAAAATTTAGTATCTTGTGTAGAATTTCCCTGAAAAAATATGGCATTCTTGTTCTTAAAATGGAATCATAATGTGCTTGTTGTATAATAAGTCTTAATTTGTTATTCATTTTTTATAGATTTGGGTGTGATATAAAAATACAAATCATATTCAGATTCAATTTTTATTTAATTCATATTCGTACAAATAATAAAAACATTATTCGATTTGATTCATCCAACATTCGAATATTTTCAAAAATGAATTAAAATTTTAAAAAGCAATATTTTCATCCAGGTATTCTATTCGTGATCTTGAAGTATAAAAATAAGATGTAGCTTTACTGGAGACCATTAAAGGCAAAATTCATTTTAAAATAATGGCTAAATAAAAAGGCAGGCAATAATATAATTTACAAGAACAGGAAAAAATTAAAGATGACCGAGCATTATACAAATGTCTGATTATAATTATTAAATATTATAACTAAAAATATTATCTTTTAGGTTATAAAATAAGTATATCTTAATAAATTTAAATTCTGAAAATGGAAAAAAATACGGCTCTCCTAGTATTAATGACTCTAGGCAGTAATTGACGTAACCATTAATTATCCTTAAGTAATGTTAAAAGACTCGATTTATAAAAAGGACTAACCCAATATTTTAGCCAAAAAATGTTCTGCAAGCCTCAAGATTCGTTAGATGTCCAAACCTTTCTGCCATCTATCAAGTAAAATTTCCAGGTTTGCGTTATACTTTTGGCTAAAATATTCGGTTAGCCGTTTTTAAAAATCGAGACGTTTAACGACACTATCCTTAAGGATTACAGTTTGATATTTTTTATTATGATATTCCTAAAATTTGGAGGGACGTGCAAGACCTGTGATTTTTTCATATTTATTATTAAGAGCTTGCATTTTATATTCTATTAATTATATATTTAATTTAATCGATTATATTAAATACTATTAGAATCTATAAGGATAACTTAATCCACGATTACGAAATGCTAAAAGATAAGAGAACTTCTAAACAACAACAAAATTAATACGCTTTAATACTATAAAACAATTGTGATTTAATTTATCTGTATTCCTTGTATATACAAATGATTGTGATGTTGTATTTTATAATTGCGTTTATTTAATAAAACGGTTATACAATATTGTTAATTATGTATATCCCATGGCTTATATTTATTTCTTTTTCCTTTTCAAAGCACGAACTTCTCCTTCTTGATTAGCTAAGAATGAATACAATTTTTTGACCTTTGTTTTCCTTATCATATCCCTAAAGAAATAATAATTATTATAGAAATACATTAAATATAATGTTTTCATTATTTATTTATTTAAAATGTAGAATTTCCAATAATATAAAATGAACCTTTCTATCTGCTCGTTCAATTTTTGATTAGAAAGGAAAGTTGCGTCCTTTCTAAGTTCTTTTTTAGCCGTTTTCATATCTCGTTTGTAGACGTGTTTCAACATTTGCCTTTGATCCAACAAGTGCTTCGCCCTCGTGCGATGAATTTTATCTTTTTCGTTGTTATTCAAGCCTTGTTTCTTAAGAGCCTCATCATTCATTATCAACTCCTTGGCTAAATTTTTCATTTTACCTCCCTTTTTAGTATTAAATTTATTATTTGCGGGTATTATAAGAGGTTCTAATAAGTTAGGAACTTTGGGCTTACATTTATTATTTATGGGATCGGTTTTATGAAGAGGATTAAAGTATTGTACCAGATGTTCAGGTGAAATGGAAAGAAGGGAAGATCTTTTATGCGATATTTTTTGAGAAATATCCGATGATTTTACAATAATTTTTTCGGTAGTTTGCTATAATATATGTTTTTGTGATGGTTAATTTTAAAAATTTAAATAAAAACTTATTTTTATCTTAAACCCGCCACTATTTCATAGAGCAAAATCTGAATGACTACTTATTAAATAATTTATTTAAAAAAACAGTTTGTAAAACCTTGATTTCATAGTCTTCATCAAGTAAAGGCACTAGCTTATTTTGCAAAGTATCGATTAATGGTTTTATAATTTCGGGGAAGCTGCTCAGCAGACCAGAATTCGTTGTAGATATTGCATTTGATAATTCTACTTCTTTATAATCGTACAAGCTCACAAATTTAAGCAAAATTTTGAAGTAATTACACAAACTAAGTTTGAACGTTTTTTCATATAAAGGCATATATAATATATCCAATAACAATATATCATTATAGTCGTCCTTTATTTTTGTATCGTTATTTTTTGCGCCCAAACAGAAAGGTAAACTACGAATGTAATAATTTTGAGACCCAGAGAGGTATTCGCTTAACACTGGAAAATACATTGCCCGGCAATGGAAATTGTCAGACTTATCAGTGATACCACTATGAATATCAACTTGATTAAAATTATACATAAGGCTTTTGCATAAAGATAAGCCTAAAAGATTCGTAATATATTGTACGTAGTTTTGTTTGGGATATTTGATTGCGGAATTGGCATAAAAGGACAGCTGCGTGTTTGTAATTTTAAGTAAAATGTCCAAAAGATTCGTTATTATGTAATTGAGAGTTTGTGGGTGATTAGATTTTGGTGAGAGGAGAGAACTATTGGTGACCAATCTATATAATAGCCACTAATTTTATATATTAAATTAAAATAATTCATTTAATATATTTTTTAAATTGTAATTAATCAGTTATAAATAAATGTAAACAATTGTGGCTTTAAAATTAGAGTGCGCTTTTGCAATAATCATTTTTTCAGATATAAAAAAAAGATGGTGAAATTTTGCAATGAATTATAACATTTTCACATTTTGATTAGGAATAATTTATAAAAAATAGTATGTGTATATTTATTTTATATCCATTAAATGATAATAGTGTTAAAATTAAAAAGGCGTTATTTAAAATAAAAATTATGTATAGTAGTAGAGCATTAACCTAGTGCACTCCGAATATAGGGGATTTATATAATTTAAATTAAACCGCGAATATTGAGGGTCCAAGTAAATATAATCTAATCAATGATTCCTCATCCTTAATATCGTCCTTCAAATTTTCCTCGTTAACATCTCTAATGCCGCTATTATATTTCCTAATATCCTTAGATAGCCGTTTGACATATTTGCGATTTATATATTGAGCAGAGAAAGTCTTAAAAAGACTTTCCGAAATTTCCTCTAGTATTTCTCTCACAAGGTTAGGGTAAACGGCAAATATAGTTTGGTAGAATTCTCTGTATATTAAACTTATGGACTTTTCTGATACAAGTCTAACACATTTTCTAAATTCTTGTATAAAATAATTAACGATTAAAAATGTTATTTGGAAATGATTTATAAGTGATTAATATAATTCTTTTCTACCATAGTCTTTCTTATTATAATATTTTCTAAGTGTTAATCTTTGCCAAACGTTCTAATCCAAATGGCATTTCTATGTATGTTTAATTAGGACATATGTTTAATTAGGACATAATGTATAAGAGATAATAATATAATCATTTAAAAAATATTGGAAATACATTTATTTTACCTTACCTTCATTATCTGATTTAAACTCTACATTAAGCATAGCTCCCATGATAAGATCGGCCAAATATCTAATGGTAAAAATTATGCAATTTCGCAAGCCTATAACCATGCCAGCCTTATCTTCCCCTCTAAGTGATTCCAATGTAGAAGCATTCAAAATAAATTTCTTAAAAGCATGACAGAGTTCGTTTTTTCTTTCTTCGCAATCCAAAATTGGGTTGCTATCATTAAACAAGGTTTTATTGAGTACAAGTGAAAAATGCTCGAAGCTCTCTAAAACTTTCAGCTTTAAAGATTTTAATTTAATATCAGATGGGTCGTTTTTGTTATAAATACCAAACAGGCTACTCCCTTCAAAACGGTACAGAAAATCAAAATCTATTACATTTTGAGGATAGGGCTCGATATTTTGATTTTCATTCTCGAACTTATATGAGGCGAATATTTTGTTTTCATTTACCATCTTTCCACTTTCGTCATAGGCTAAAATAAATGGTTCTTCACGCCCATCACTTATGGGAAATTGATTAGTTAATTTCGGCTGAATGTTTAGGCATCTTGAAAATAATTTTTAAATAGTATATTATAAATATGAAGATTATTTTGTCATATTAAATTGAAATATTTTTATTTTAGACCTTTTAATTATTTAATGGCATTCCATTATATAATTTTAATTTGTCTAATTTATGAGCCATTGAAACCTGACTTTATTTATTTTAAATGGTTTGGTAAGTCACCTAAATTATTAAAAGTTCTAAATTTTAGATAAGGGAACTAATTATATCCAAATACTGGTAACATCACTATGGAAGTGCAAAAGTGGAATCAGCAAGCCTAAATTTAATTTGAAAACATATATTTTCTAGTTGAGCAAAAGGACAAAATATACCTTTTAGCACGCCTAAATTAGAGCTATACATTTGTGGCATCAATTTAAAACATTTAAATATAAAGTTTTATAATCGTTATTACTCGTCATATGTTAATGCATCCGCCGAATAAGTTCGTATTTGAGTTTTCTTATAACTATTTTTATTTTCATCTTTCGACACCGTTTTTTTGATGTTGCTATCAACTGGTTTAGAATTATCCTAAAGAAATTATAAATATATTATTCCTTTAAATAGACATTTTTATTATAATCATGTACATGTGCATAATTTACCAAAAAAATTTGCATTATAGTTAATTTTTAACATAACACTACCGTATTAGATATAATTTTAATAATAAAAATTATAAAACGAATCATTAAATTAAAGAGTTAAATATAAAGGTAATCATTTCTAGTGAGTTTCAGCACCTAATTGCTAGGGGTGTACCGATACCACTTTTTGGAGGCCGATCCAATATTCCCGATATTAAATTGATATCGGTAGATTACCGATTCGATATCATATCTAATTTTGTATTCTGTAAAGTTACCAATGATTTTAATTTTTAATATACTTTTTATTAGTATAACATCTGTAATCTAACTATACCATAACTTATATTATTTAAATATATTATAATGATCAGTTATAGTTTATATTCAATTGCAATTCTGAAAGTATATAAAATATTTTTATTATTAAATTACTTTTATTTAATAAGTATAAGTAATAACATTAATTTATATACATAATAAGTAATAAACAAATATATTATGAAATTTGAAATAAATATTTTAAATAATATTTAATATTAATATATCGAAGATTTCTTTTTAGAAATGCCAAAATTTCAAATTTATCAGAGGCGGCGATGGTAACTATCATATAACCAGCTCCACTAAAAACAGATTCTGAAGATATTATAGCACACTTTTATAAACAGAATGCGCCAAAAAATAACAATATGGCAGAATGTTTAATAATTAATTATTATTATTAAAGACATGCGGGGAGATCTTGTCTAAAATAATATTAAACATCTTATGAAGAATTAGTAGGGATTTAGCTCAATTTAAATATAAGGATTTAATTTATAAAGCGAAGATTTCTTTATTTTTTTAATTAAGTATAAAAATAAAATGTGTTACTAACTCCAAAAATTCGACCTCGACCCGAGTCCAAGCCGAAAATAACGACTTCGACCCAAAATATGGGTTCTATTTTTCGACTCAGACTTGAAGCTTGGTTGTTTTTTTCGACTCAGACTTGAAGCTTGGTTGTTTTTTTCGACTCAGACTTGAAGTTTATTTTTTTAAAGCCAATGTATAAAAATATATTTTGCAAACATGTTAAATTAAAATTTCAGTGAAGATGTACCATAGGAAAGTGACATTTGTCTTAATCGTCATTTTTGAACAATTTTCAATTTTTTTTAGACAAATATAGCAGCAAACATGTTAAAATAAAATTTCATTGAAGATGTACCATAGGAAAGTGACAATTGTCATAATCGTCATTTTTGAATTTTTTTAAGGCAAATGGGTAAAAATATATTTTGTAAACATGTTAAATTAAAATTTCATTGAAGATGTACCTTAAGAAAGTGACAATTGTCATAATCGTCATTTTTGAACTTTTTTCAATTTTTTTAAGGCAAATGGGTAAAAATATATTTTGTAAACATGTTAAATTTAAATTTCAGTGAAGATGTACCTTAGGAAAGTGACAATTGTAATAATCGTCATTTATGAACTTTTTTGAATATTTTTTAGACAAATGGGTAAAAATATATTTTGTAAACATGTTAAATTAAAATTTCATTAAGAATGTACCATAGGAAAGTGACAATTGTCATAATCGTCATTTTTGAACTTTTTTGAATTTTTTTAAGGCAAATGGGTAAAAATATATTTTATAAACATGTTAAATTAAAATTTCTTTGAAGATGTACCTTAGGAAAGTGACAATTGTCATAATCGTCATTTTTGAACTTTTTTGAATTTATTTTAGTCAAATGGGTAAAAATATATTTTGTAAACATGTTAAATTAAAATTTTGTACCATAGGAAAGTGACATCACTGAAAAATTGATTTAACATGTTTACAGTCTATATTTTTATCTATCTGCTTCAATTAAATTGAAAAAAGTTCAAAAATGACGATTATGACAATTGTCACTTTCCTATTGTACATCTTCACTGAAATTTTAATTTAACAAGTTTACAAAATATATTTTTATCTATCTGCTTCAATTAAATTGAAAAAAGTTCAAAAATGATGATTATGACAATTGTCACTTTTCTATGGTACATCTTCACTGAAATTTTAATTTAACATGTTTACAAAATATATTTTTACCCATTTGCCTTAAAAAAAATTGAAAAAAGTTCAAAAATAACGATTATGACAATTGACATTTTCCTATGGTGGGTAATTCCATGCCAAATCGATAACTTTTCGGCCCAACCTTTTTAATTTCGATAAAATTTTGTATGCTGAGAGAATATCATTTGAAAGCATCGAATCCAAAATTTTAGCTTCCTAGTATTCATAGTTCCAGAGATATCAATGGTCAAAAGTGCCAAAAATGACCTTTTTTCGAAAAATACGATTTTTTGAAACTGAGATAAGTTAAAAAATAATAATTTTAAAAATATATGTTATATGTCATTTTGTAACTCTATTTAAGGCCTTTTATTAAATATTAAGGATTTTTTTGAAATAATATTGTTGCGGTTTTTATTTACGTTATAAATTTTAAACATAAAAATTCCAGGTGTTTCGCTTTCCAAATTTTTTTGAATTTAATATTTTCTAATTTTTAAACTTGGGACAGCCATGGGTTTTTTAGTTATTACGATTTAAAAAATCAAAAAATAAATATTTTTTTCAAAAATAGATGGCGCTCCTTTGTAAAATAACGTGTTTTGTTATAATAATTATTCTTTTAAACTTTTTTTCACTTTTAAACATAAATAATAAGATTTTTCAGCATTAATATCATGAAATGAGATTATTTAGCTGCGGTTATAATCATTTTTTTTTATAAAATATTTTAATTTTCGAAAAATTATTTTATAAATTTTAAAGATATAATAGATAAATTAAAATTCATGAAAGATATTACCTATTTTCGGTTTTTCATTAAATTTAGTTTTTTGACGCCATGAAAATTTCGTTTTGCGATAAATTATATGTACGCCCAGTAGCCGTTGATGGGCTAACTATTGTTAAAATATTATTTTTTGGTATGAAAACGATATTTAGTGCAGCTGGATAAACAAAAGAATTTGCTGGTCCTTTAGGGGGAAGAAAATTAATTTTTACTTTATCTCTAATTACGTTCACTTCTTGTACAAATCCTAACCACCAATCGTTTTCATATGCACATGTTACATATCCTCTAATCTCATAGATTATCAGATCCTCAATCAAAGGATCTTCACGTGGATATATTGATTTCGTTGCAGTCACCAAAATAACAGGTGGGTAACGGGGGATTGCAAATCATTCCGCCTATAACATCTCTATAAGTTGTTAATGTATCCTCACCATTTTTAGTTAATGTTGCTAATTCACAGCCTAAAATCATAAGTTTATAATATTCTGGTGTATGTAACAAACGCATACACTATGTGTTCCGCTAGCCTCTGCTAATATACAATTTTTTGGTCTTAAGCTAGCAAATTTCGAAAATCCAATTATTAAGTTTGAATTACTCGCCTTAAAATGATTATATAATTCTTTCAAATTATTAAGAACTAACCTTTTTTGAGCGTTCACTCGTTCCCCCTTTTCAATGATAGATAGCAATCTTTTTTTCCTGGTAATACCCTACTAACTTCATCACTGCAAAAAAATTTTTTTAACAATATCAACTGTTTTTGATTGAAATATTTTGCAGGCTTTCGATTTGGAGTAGAAAGAATCCCCTTTTCTTCTAAAATGATTTTGGAATTATAAGCCATATGATATGTAGCGTTGAATGTCGTTTTTATTTTATTTGCGCTTAAATTAGGAGGCAGAATGGTCAGCAATTGATATTTTTTATTTTTAGATAAATTGGGATATTGTAATTTCATGTTATTGAGTATATCATTATTATCGTTCTTATCCGAATCTGGATTGTTAATTATTATATCTGTAATCGCTTTTGTTATTTTTGCTGCCTTTTTTTTGATAATTTTTTTCGGTTAGTTTTTTTTTATCTTAATAGGAGATATTCCTATTCATTTAAAGTTATATTGATTTTATCTATTGATGTTGATGCTGTTATTTACATATTCACTATCAGAATTTATATTTTCGATATTTTTTTGTGATAACTTTTTACGGCATTTATCACAAATATAATGTTCCGCCTCAATGTTTGGATATTGTGTCATCCACGTCATGACTTTGCGCAGGTTCTTTTTATAATTAAAGTGTTTAGATTCTTTAAAAGGATTTATGCATTTATATTTTTAAATTATAAATAATTTTAAGAAGAAAAATAATTAATATCAAAATATTTGCAAAATAAAAATTAATTAATATTAGGGCAGGTACATGAAAACTAGCTTTTATCTTTCAACAATTATATTTTCTTGTATGAGATATCGGAATCTTAACTATCTTTTTAGGTAATTTAATCATTTATTATAAAAACTAATTTTTACAAGTTATCAATATAGCAATAATAATAATTAGTGATCTGCATCGAGCCTAATTTTTCAAGCCCAGCCCTAAATCTTTTTAAAAAAGTTTTGCCGGCTCGACCCGAACCCGAAAATTTTTTTAAAAAAATTTACCGACCCGGCCCGAATTTATTTAAATACAGGAATTAATTATTATAATTACTTAAAATAAAAGATATATGTTATATGTTGTTTAGTTTCAATAAATAAAATCAAATGTTTATATTTTACATAAAAAATTCAATATAAAATTGATAAATTTATATATATTTAAAGAAGTTTCCAAGGTCCGACCCGACCCGGCCCGAATTTTTTTTCAAAATATTAGGCCCGGCCCGAATTTTTTTTCAAAATATTAGGCCCGGCCCGAACCCGTTTATTTTAAATAGAATTAAGCCCAAAGCCCGTCCGGGCCGTGCCTAACTTTGCAGATCTCTAATAATAAGTAAGCCTATCAAACGATCTATATAATATTTTTTCCTGATAGTAATGCTGGAAAATCTTATTATTTATGTTTAAAAGTGAAAAAAAGTTTAAAAAAATAATTATTATAACAAAATACATTATTTTATAAAGGAGCGCCATCTATTTTTGAAAAAAATATTTATTTTTTGATTTTTTAAATCGTAATAACTAAAAAACCCATGGCTGTCCCAAGTTTAAATTTTTTTTTATGAATAGATATAAGGTTAGAGAATTAGAAAATATTAAATTCAAAAAAATTTGGAAAGCGAAACAACAGGAATTTTTATGTTTAAAATTTATAACGTAAATAAAAACTGCAACAATATTATTTCAAAAAAATCCTTAATATTTAATAAAAGGCCTTTAATAGAGTTACAAAATGACATATAACTTATATTTTTTAAATCATTATTTTTTAACTTATCTCAATTTCAAAAATCGTATTTTTCGAAAAAAGGTCATTTTTGGCACTTTTGACTATTGATATCTCTGGAACTATGAGTACTAGGAAGCTAAAATTTTGGATTCGATGCTTTCAAATGATATTCTATCAGCATACAAAATTTTATCGAAATTAAAAAGGTCGGGCCGAAAAGTTATCGATTTGGTATGGAATTACCCTGGTACATCTTCACTGAAATTTAAATTTAACATGTTTATAAAATATATTTTTACCCATTTGCCTTAAAAAAATTGAAAAAAGTTCAAAAATGACGATTATGACAATTGTCACTTTCCTATGGTACATCCTCAATGAAATTTTAATTTAACAAGTTTACAATATATTTTTTTACCCATTGGTCTAAAAAAAACTGAAAAAAGTTCAAAATAAACGATTATGACAATTGTCACTTTCCTATGGTACATCTTCACTGAAATTTAAGTTTAACATGTTTATAAAATATATTTTTGCCTTAAAAAAATTGAAAAAAGTTCAAAAATGACGATTATGACAATTGTCACTTTCCTATGGTACATCCTCAATGAAATTTTAATTTAACATGTTTACAATATATTTTTTTACCCATTGGTCTAAAAAAAATTCAAAAAAGTTCAAAAATGATGATTATGACAATTGTCACTTTCCTAAGGTACATCTTCAATGAAATTTTAATTTAACATGTTTACAAAATATATTTTTACCCATTTGTCTAAAAAAAATTTAAAAAAGTTCAAAAATGACGATTATGACAATTGTCAATTTCCTATGGTACATCTTCAATGAAATTTTAATTTAACATGTTTGTAAAATATATTTTAGCATATTTGCCTTAAAAAATAAACTTCAAATATTAGTCGAAAAAAACGACCAAACTTCAAGTCTCAGTCATAAAAAACGACTTAAACTTCAAGTCTGAGTCAAAAAAAACGACCTCGACATATTTTGGGTCGAGGTTGTTTTTTTTGGCTTGAACTCGGGTCGAGGTCAAAAAAAACAACCCAAACTTTTGGTCGGGGTCGCGACTTGCAGCGTTTTAACAACACTACACATCTCTGATATTTTTACTTATAAATATAAAAATATCAGCTCAAAAAATCATACCATCAAATTTGACAAAGTAAAACATATTTCATAAGTGTTTATTATATTTAGGTTAATTTTTATTAAACTTAATATATAATATAATAAAAGATTACTTCTCTTTGAATAACTTCAGAGTTATTTGATGATTGAAATTGCAAATCATGATATATAAGATCATATGATTCAACACCATATGAGTAATCATTTGAAATTTTGCCAATACTTTTTTTAGTATCAAGTTGGTTATTTTTAGTGCTATCAATATGATTTATTTTGCTGTCAGATTTAATTAACATCCTTAATTCTTTCCATGTCTGGTCTAATTTTTCCCTAAATGTATCTATATTCTCCTTTTCTCTTTGCTTTTCATGCTATTTAAATATAAAGTAAGTATTAAATTCAGTTTTTCACTTTCTCTTTTTTGCTAAATGATATCATCTCTTCCAAAAATGTTTTGTGTTTACTTTTGTTTAAATGATTAAGTTCTTTACTACTATTTTCAAATCCTCCAAAATGTAATGATGATACAATTTTAGCTAAAATTTATATAATTTTTTATTGATTGATATATAAATATACAGTTGTGATCTCCATCATTTTCCATGTCCAGGTCTGTTACATTTTTATAAGATTTCATTTCAGATAGTTTAATACCAGTATGAGTTAATTCTTCATCATTCAAATTGTATAATCGTTTTTTAGATTGTTTCTATAATAAAGTTAAATGTATATTATAAATATTTTAAACCTGTTTTTCACGTATGAGCCTTTGTAAAGTTTTTTCATCTTGTGAAATGTCAACTTTTTCTCCTATCCTATAATCTATCAACTTATTAGTGTTGTTTCTTTTTTTGTATTCTTGTAAAAGTGTTTTCTTTCTCTTAATATTCTTTATATATTGCTCTAAGATATAATATGAAATACTTTCTCTTCAGCTTTTGGAATGGTTGACACATGTTTAGACTTGGAAACGTTAGATTTTTTGCGAATAAAATGACGATCAAATGGGTTAATAGCAGGAATAACATTCTTACGATTATCCTTCTTATCTATCATCTTTTTAAGCTTTTTACGGTTAAATTTCTTTTTTACAAGATTATTCATTTTTCTTACGAAATTGCGAATATATTGGATGGCATAAATCAGATGATTGACATATATTGCGTAACAGATTACATTTAATAAATAATGACATATGATGTCAAATAATAAATGATGGAATGTTTGTAATTGTAAATTAAAATACCGCCCACTGTATAAAAGACATCACATTTATAATCAACATTCTCATGTTAACACTGTTAAAGATTATGAGAATCGCCTTCGCCAATATTATTATACAACTTAGAAAACTAAAAGATAATACAAGAAATGTATGTGATTGTTGAGGCGAAAGATATTATTGAAATTTCAAGCCTCGACTTGTACCTAGACGAAAAAATCGTTCTAATCTTAACGGGAACTCAATTTAAAATTCCCATAAATCTTGGTAATAAAAATTACATATTTAACCCTTTATTTAATTTTAGAATTTAATTGGTGTGAAATATTAATAGATAGTCCACCAAAAAACGCTATGAGCATTGCAACCTTTAAAAAATATTTTAAGGTTTTTCCAAATATATTAAAATTACTGTATATTTTGGCAACTATACTGAGACTAGTGACAATGCACGTCAAAAATATTAATTTTTTTTTAGCATAATAAAAATAATATTAATTTAAAAAGTATATTAATTCTTTTTAACTTAGATAAAATAATATTTATTTTTTTTAACGTAGTTTTAATAATATTTTTTTTTTAACGTAGTAAAAATAATATTTATTTTTATTAACGTAGTAAAAATAATATTTATTTTTATTAACGTAGTAAAAATAATATTTTTTTTTAACATAGAAAAATATTATTAATTTTTAACCTAATATAAATAATATTAATTTTTTTAACTTAGAAATATTATTAATTTTTTTAACGTAGTAAAAATATTATTGATTATATTAACATAGTAATAAAAATAAAATTCAATTTTTTAAAGTAGTGAAATAATAACGTAGTAAATTATTATTTTTTTTAACATAGCATGAACAGGGTTGCCAGGTCAAAATTTTCAAATTACGGGAGAAATTTGGTATTATGCGGGAGAAATATGAAAATTGCGGTATATAAAAATTGCTAAAAAAAAGGGATTTTGAATTGACTTAATTATCCGCCTATTATTTTTTATAATTAGTTTATATAAATACAAAGTCGGTAACTAATTTTCAAAATAAAAACATCTTGATTTATTAAAATATATTAATTTATTTTGGTAGAAACAGAGTGTATTTACAGAATTGAGTCAGCACAATGTTGATTGCGATATGTTCCTAATATCCGTCACCGATAGAATTTTTAAATTTTATAAACCATTAAAAAAAATTTCTTAAATAAAGGATATTAAAGCTGTCCTAACATTTTGAAAATTTTTTCAATAATGAATGGCAGAGGTATATTTAGGAATGATTTCACATGTAGGAAATCTACTACATGCTGTTAATGTGTAGTTGCAATCAGAAGAATCTTAAAACAAAGATTCACAAATTTATGCTGCAGATGTGTTCATCTTTACAATTAAAAATTGACAATAAATTTTATGGCGCCATTGCTAAAACTTATTTTATATTTTATTTGAACTTTAAATAGAACTAAATACCGTCGTTATTGATATATTTATAAAATTCCTGGCATGACATATTATATATTTGTTTAACCATTAGCTGGGCCTCTAATGTTGTTAAAGCAATCCGATTTCTCTCCTTTTTCCAGGCAGTCCTCATCAGGCAAAAAATGCGCTCGGGTGAGGCATTAGAATGAGGTAAGGATAAGACATACTCGCGTATTTTTTCCAAGTATGGGAATTTATCGTTATTACGATTAAATTCTTCCCATTTCTCCTCTGCTTTTAGACTACTTTAAGTATTTTGGTGAATCATAAAAAATAGAGAGAATTACAATCTCCTCAAACAAGGCATCAATGTCTTTCGGTATTTTTAATATATTTATTAAGTTATAAAAACCATCAATTGATGGTTTCTGTTCCAAGGTAATAATATTTATTCATTTGTAAATAGAGTTATTAAAATCAAATTTTGATTGTAAATATTCTAAAATTGTCTTAATAAAAATATCTGCCTCATTTAAAAATGTATTAATTAGAGTATTATTTGAAAATTTTAATTTTTAGCAATTGCGCCATAAAATTTATTATCAATTTTAACTGTAGAGATGAACAGAGCGTAGCATGATTTTGTGAATATTTTTTAATAAAGAAAATTCTGATTGCAACTGAATATTAATTGTATGAGGTAGATTTCCTACATGTGAAATGAATCCCAAATATGCTTCTGCCATTTCATACTCGAAAAAATTTTTAATTTTAGGACAGCTTTTAAAATCTTTATTTAAAAAGAATTTTTTTAAGGGTTTGTAAAATTTTACAATTCTATCGATGGCAGGTATTAATGACAACCATCTGATAGGTATATATCGCAACAACTCACACCATTCCAAGTCAGACCACTTCATCAACTCTTTTAATTCATTAACTCTTTTAGTTGATGAACTAAATTCGTTAAAACATTTCATCACAATTATTTCGACATCCACAGATAGTACATTCATTGCCTTCTTGCAAGAATTATGTAGTATATGGCTGACATGCAAATCATTGATAACCCTGAATCAGCTATATGTACCATTATGTGGCTAGCTACATCGTTGGATTTTTCACTATCCGAGGAAATAATTTTAACAGTTTTATTGAAATGTTCTTATTCTTGTTGAAATAGCGAAAGATCGAGGGAAATGTTAATATTTCCCTTATTAGATGCATCTGTTAGAATTGCATATGGATGCCACCTCTAGGATTCAAGTACTAAAACACTTGTGAAAGCCTTGCTCATTTTTGTTCTGCCACAAGTAAGGTTCGCACTTATACTGGAGTCGTTAAATATCATGAGAAAAAAATTCGACCCACATTGAGATGGTATAACTCTGTGAATGTTGAACTACATGATAGATGTATACGATTTCCGCAAATGTAGTTGCATCTGTATTATTTATTATTTTTGAGAATATTTTTGTATTGCAATCATGTTGATATATTCTACTGTACTGACTTATATGAATGAAATGATGTTGATTTATTATTGGATAAAAATAACAGGATAGAAAGAAATTTACAAACTAGACATGTTTTTCGAATAAATATTTAAAATTTATTTTAAAAATATAAAAATAATCAATTAATGTCTTTCAAAATTATAATTTATATAATAAAAACGTTAAAATACTTTAAATTACTTCTTTTTTTTTAAATTGGGGGAGAAATTAAAAAAATTGTGGTAAATTTTTGCAGGAGATTTCCAATTGTGGTAGTTTTACGGGAGAGAGATGTCTGCGTGTAAACTAAAAAATTGCGGGAGTCTCCCGCTGATGGGGGGAGATATGGCAACCCTGAGCATGAATAATATTAATTTTTTTAATGTAACATAAAGTTTATATTTATTTTATTAGACAAAATTATAAAATCTGAAGGTGAGGTATGCTACCCTTGCTTTTATAGACGTTTCTACACTGGATATACATATCATTTTATAGAGCTATAATATTTATTTTAACAATGTTATATTCGCTATTAAATTTTTTGTATTTTTAATTATTTTATTTTTTGTGTTCTAAATTGTCATTTTTGAAGTATGATTGGTTCAAATAAATATTATGTGATGATTACTATAAATTTTTTTATAAATAAATAAATGAAAAAGAAAAAAATGTTCTTATTCTTTTTAAAATTTACAAAAATAAAAAATTTTTTTAAAATAATTTCAGTGAAATTAATTATGTTTCTCTAAGATTTTTTATTTTATAAGTAACTGTTAGAGATGATTAATTAAAATAAAATAAAATTTAAATTAAATTAAAATACTAATTAAAATAAAATTAAAATAATTATGAATGACCTTATAGAAAATATATAGCGATTTCTACATATGACCTTTTATAAATATATCACGATTTCTAGATAAACCTTTTAAAAAATATATCGCGAATTATACTAACTTATTTCATTTTATTTCATATTCAATTTTATATTATTTTATGACTATATAAACTTTAAAATTTAGGCATGTTCAACATAATGTTAATTTAATTTATTAATAAACTTTAGCTTTCATCTTGGCCTGCCACTGTGTCTTTTTAACAGTAACCTAATCAATTCTAACAGTTGTTTTGCTTTTACCATGTAATATCAACTTAATATTATCATTATATTTTAGAATTTTTAATGTTCCCCTTTCCACCTTATTTAAATTTGATGGTGAAAACCTATTTTACCATATTTATTCTACATTTTAACTAATTTCTAAAACAAAATTTAATATAAATTCAAAAAGGCATTTTTGCATTCCTGCTTTCCTCTCTCCGGCTAATAATTTGTGTTTCTTACACGTTTCCTAGCATTCTGAAATGCATTCCTAAGAAGATATCTAATTTTATTACTCTTTTATCAATACGCAATTTATATTTATTAATCCTTATAATATAGATCAATTATTAGATCTGAGTATTATTTCTTCTCTAAGAGATTATCATTTTAATTTGAGCGATGGTAATATAACAATGAGTGTCAAAAGACACTCATCAATCAATGGTATTACTAGCCTTTGTAATCTCATGGGGCAATTTTTTTTTAGAAATTAACTTATTTTTTTAAGGAAGTATTTCCAAAATTAACCTTTTTTAGAAAATATATTTTAAAAAATTTATAAATATTTTCTACTATAAATTTAGGGACTCTTCCAATATTTAAGGGGGCTCGAGCACTCCCCTCTCACAAATGACGCTACTGCTCTCACCACTAACTTGGTAGAAAATAATAATCTATTGAAATTCTAAATATTAATAATATGAACTTTATTTTTTTAGCGACTTTATTTTATTTAAAAATAAGATACAATATATAATAAATTTTTAAAAAACGGATACGAATATATTAAAAATTATATGAAAAAAAAATGATTAGTTTTATAAAAAAAACATTAAAAAGGAATATGCCACTTTAGAGAGAAGTAAAT